CTATTGGTAACTATGATAACACATTTCTAATAGTTCGACGCTAAAAATGTATTTCTATATCGACATAGATATAGGTATATATCGATTTGTATGTAATCATAGATATTTCATTTTACCGACGTGTAATCGTATGCCGGTTTGAAAGGGAATACGTTTTTGTAATATTATACCACTGCAGGATTCATGTTGTGGCTTTGTCGTCCTTTGTCGCGTTTGTTTACCACGTGTGTCTGTCTCCTGTCAGTATTTCGAATGAGTTATGCCATTCTTGTTTTGTAATTCCATTGTATCTAGCGTTAATCGACGTTGCCAATGCTATTATTATAGCAGCGATATCCGCGCTTGTATCCTCGTGCTGTTACCTTGACAATACCATTGTATTTGATCTCTGTTTCGATGACCGTCAAGTGTTTTCTATGGCAAAATTTGCCGAATATAAGCCAAACGTGTAAATGGTTTCGTTTGTAGTAATGACCAATATTTTCGTGGACTCCTCAGCATATATTGGAGAACCATAGAACTGTGATAAAGCTCTGCTAGACGATTTTGAAGTAACCCCAATACGGTTAGAGTTGTTGCACACGGTGCATATATGGTCTGGAGTTTATCGACCGTCGCGTCTAGTCGCTTCTTAGACTTTTTCATTCCATAGTTACAATAGTACCTACATACAGTACTTTTTTTGTAATTTTATTTGTAATGGATGCTATCACCTGAATTATGGAAATGGTTTTCTTGAAACTGATTGTTATTAGCTGCTGGCACTGCTATGTATATCAATTTAAAGTACTATGATTTTAATCCCGTTCATTTACACGCAAAAATCATTTCTGTCGAGGTATATATAATTTTTACTTTATGCGAGTGTTTTGTTTTGCCGGTCGATGGCTCTCAAACGGTTGTTATGCTGACGTCAGCAATAAATAATTTTAAAATTCGTTGAATGGATGTTTGTTTTGGAGCGACTTGCTTACTATGAATCATTAATCTATTTACGTTCATTTGCAAAGTCTGAGAATTTCTGTTTTTTTTGACTTACAAAAATAGAGATCGTTATAATTTCAATATTATAAATTCAATAAAAAATATTGATAACTTTTTCAAACAGACATGGTTTAAATAATGTACTTTGAAAAAAGAAACATTATTATTATCTTGAATATGTGCCATTTGTTATAAGGTTTACCAAATACCAGTGATATCTATTTGTACATATTTCTCTTTTTTACCATTTAATTTCCACTATGTTTATCCCTTAAACTGCTAAATACGTACGTTATTAGAAATGATGATTAACAAACTATTTTCATTTCAACTTTATTGACAGAGCCCGAATCGTAATATTAAATAAAAGTAGGAAACTCACAATCGAATACTTCTACGAATAAAAAAAATATGGGTGGATCTAAAACTGATTGCTCTCTGAAATATAAACATCCACATTATTATGACGTTATGTCGGAGATTTGCCAAATCATGCGGCGTAGCCGTAGCCAGTTGCCGGGGTAGTATTGTTGTATCAGTACATGTACAGTTCGCTGTCCAGTTTCTCTCGCCAGTATTGCTGAAAGCTGTTTTCACAAAGGCGTTGAGTGAATCTACTTGAGATTGTGTAGAATAATGTTATCGTTTTGTTGTGTAGACTATATTTTCTACCTTTTACTTTTGGGGTTTTACTCGTTGTTGCCGCAGCTGTTGGAGAGATTTAATGATCTTCAGTTTTTTAGGAATACCCTCATCAGTGCCTAAAAATAGGTTGTGAGTGTTTTTGTTTTAACTTATCTTCTTAACAGACTGGTAACATAGTTTTCATGTACTGCACTGACTAATCACTTTAAGTTGTTTTTGGTGGTCTGATTTATATCTGAATTTTGACTCTATCAAATTTAGGTAGATGATATGCTCCCGCTGGGAAAACTTCTTCCCTCTATAATATGGATTGACACATAAATTTTGTTCAGATAGCCTTTTATTATGTAAGCGTTGATAATGTTTAAAAAAATATATGTTTTTAGATTTTAGAGAGAAAAAAGAATTCAACTGCTTTCTATATTACAGTACAGGTTCTACAAAGCGTTTCATGTTGGTGATGAATAATTCAAATACTTCGTTTCGTTTGTTCGCAGCTGGATATCCCTTTTGTGGCGACATTGATGGAGTTCCGCTTGGACAGCGCGGAGTACTGCCAGGCTCAACACAAATAAATCAAGAGGGTGGTTTCGTGCGAGGTAGCAAGCGCGTACTAACTGGTCCGATGCTGCTGGGAGCGCGCGCTCATACACGCACCCCGCGAACAGTACCGCTGACATCCCGACCATAGGTAAATATATACTGAAACTGTATGAAATCCATAACTCTGCTTTGCCATAATAAAAATATATGAAAAAGCAACGTGATTAATGATCAATTACGCGCTATTTCAATTTTAATATCTCGTTTTAAGATGGCAGTGATTGTTCTAGTGGCAATTTTGTGTTTGCTATACTTTTTTTTGTAGGCCTACTCGGTTTCTCAGTAAATGAGATTTCGTTTATTTTCAAAACGCTAATATGACTCCAGGAAAACCCGTTTCTCGATAATTTAGGGTGCAACTGATGTAGGATTTGACACTGATTCTTGTGCACGTAAAATCTTCACGGTTATGATGTTATCAAAGTTATAAGAACGCCACGAAATTTTCGTTCGTGGGCAAAAGAAGTAGGTTCTCATGGTTTATGTTGGGAATGCTTGTTTTCTTGGCCATTATGTGGTTTTAGCTTTCGTATCTAAGCCATTCTGGTCTTAGAGGCAAGCGAAAAACAGACAATGGTTCAATGTATTATAGGAGAATTGAAAGACAACGAGACGTATCACTATTGATAGAACTGTATTGCTTCCGCGAAGTAAATCGTTTTGTTGTACGGGATGCTACGAGTATAAGGTCATTTACCTCATCTAGTACAACGATAGGCAGTACTTCTCGAAAACGATGCGGAGTTCTATCGATAGCGATAAGCAGGCCCTGGCGATACGTATCGTTGTTCTTTAACACTCATATTATACTTTGAATCCTTGTCCGTTTTGTCGGCTGCCCTAGGAACATTTTCTTACGATTTGCAGAAGTTTCGATTCAGGTTGTTACATATAAAACATCCAAAACTGAGATAAATATCATAATTCCAATCTTTAATTTTAGAACACCAGATCTTAATATTATGCCATTTACTGTTGAAATAAGAGTTATATTCAAAACTATCGCTACCTATGTCGCAACAGAAATCTCTATTTATAAGGTAATTTTTAAAGTTATTAAAATTTTACCCATTATGGACACTAACGCCATTATTATTTAGTAAAACGTGTAAGTTCATTATTTTAAATATATGCTACTGAAAGTGGGCACTATTCTCACAAAGAGTAGCGTTGACATACGGTCCCTATGTAATTTCTAAAACTGAGTCATTGGATTATTTTTAGAAATTACATAGATTTATGTTTGAAGCGTAATTTCCAACCAACATATTCGAAACTCAAGGTTCGTAATTTCAATGACAATGGCAATTCAATTATCATGTCATTGTGCTATTTATCAGAGTATGATTGTTTTATTAGCATTATTAATGAACCAGTGTTCCTACCGTTTTGTTTTATAAGCAATTCTCAGATATTTCAAGAACACGAGCACCTGCTAATTCGGTAACGGTATATGCCAATAAGGACTTCGTTTTCAATAATACGTCCATCTAGTTGCTAAGGGTAGAAGTTAATTACACAACGTTGAGTTTACAAAGTAAACTTTTCGAAGGTTAAAATGAAGACTTATTTTGTTGTGAAATTGAGTAGGTGTACAATTTAAAGGGCACCTGCTCTCAAACGAATGCGTATTTGGCTTCGCTTTCTCTTGTTTACATTATTTTCCCGCTTCGTATTATTTTTTTATTTTGGACCGCTTGATCTCAATTTTTAGATTTGTTTATCGGCCGGAAAGTTTTTATGTTCGTCTATTTATTTTTTTTGTGTTGCCAACTCATTATTTTCCGTTTATAGTTAGATTTATGACTTTTCTCATTTATTTTCAATTTGCATATCATATTTTAACGATTAACGTATCTAGATAAGTTCTGCCTACACCAATTGCCATCAAAACCGGATGCTAATCGATGTAGCACTTACAGCAGTCGCCCAGACCTCCATTGCCTTTCAATTTATTATTCATCACTTATCTAGTACTGACGGCAAAGCGTTTCTTTCGGAAATTTCCTTTTTTTTGCACATTTCCTTCTGAAAATTGCGCAGTTATGTAATTTGTAGGTATTGACTGTAAACTTTAGAGAGTTAGATATTTATCAATATAAGGTACGGTGTTTGGTGGCGCAGTGTTTACGATGCGCGCGTTATCACGCTTGTACCAACAAGCTCGAGTGGTGTGGCGGCGGTGAACGCGCTGACAAGTGACGCGCCGTTGGCTCTAGATCAGCATTCAACACTCCCGCGAATACCACCGCCGGTAAACACGTCCACATGACCCGAACTTCGCTTCGAAATTCAGTAGTTACTAATTTAAGAACAGTTTTTTTCTTCTTGTTCCACTTCAGTTGTTGGTTTGGCTTTGACGCAAACGCATATCTTTTAAAATGATAAATCCTATAATTCGCGAAACATCTGCCACTTTGTACGTTTTAACGCACAGTGTATTTTTGTTTCAGTTACCTTAATTTCGGAGTACACCGTTAATTGGAGCATATCATTCGGTTGCCGAAGTTCGAGTGACGACAGCGACAAACTTATGTTTTTCGTGTAATTTATTCTTTTATCGTTTCATTCCACATTCAGTACTTTTGTTTAACCGTTTACATATGCACTCGAGTGGTTGAAAACGAGACCAATGCGGATGGTTCTCAAGAAATAATTGGACCCTTTCTAAACAAAAGTAACGAAACTGACGTGTGTTGTGTGGAAATAGAGTGACAGTTTGCCTGTTAGTCTTTGACGGACTGTGACACCTCCGAAGCGTGTTAAGTGTAAACACCTCGACTTAGAACTGTAGTGCGCGAGACGCGTTCGATTCTTGACAGAAGAGTGAAGTAAAGTGATCACCATGAAGCAGAAGGATATCAGACCAGCGCCCTCCCTCATCGAGTACAAGGGCATGCGATTCCTCATCACAGATCGCCCCTCCGATGTCACCATCCAGGCCTATCTGCAGGTAATTCTCAAATTGACATGTTGTCTCTTGCCCTGTATTACCATGCAGATATTGTATAAAAAATTCTGTATCTTTTATTTGGAAGACATTATGCGTAATTGACTACTTATTGCGCATGAGTTGGCTAGTTTGTATTGTTATCGTCTGCGTATTATCGAGCATTGAAATTCGCAAGTGTGAGAAGTAATAATTAGCAGCTATTGGGGAACAATACGATAAAATGAAGTTCACGCAATAACATCTGAGAGTTCCATTTTTTAAATAAAACGTGGCAATGGCTTATTATTGTGTAGGCGTCTTGCTTTTTTCTTCAAACTTGCTGACATGGATTTTTTTCTATTTATTCTTTGCTATATATGTAACTTGTTTTAAATAACTCATTAGAAAATGAACACAATATTTTATGTCTAAAATGGGTTGTCATTTACCATCATCTAATCTGATGATATGCAAAAGGTGACCTAAGAAACAAAATCAAGAACGATTTACCTGCCCAGATCATAAAAATCAAATTTCAAGATAAAGTGCGGATACGCCACGCCAATGAGGAAGTATTAAAAAAAGAATTAGTTCCCGAAATCAAACTAGATGTCGTTAAGATACTTTCTTGATTTGTCCATGACAACCCTTCCGGTTTTCTTTCATGTATAAAAGTAAATTAATTCTCAAAATTCAATAGACAACTCCGTATTCTATTTCTACTTTTTTGTATTTGTATTGATATCTAAGTTTCGAACTTTGCAAATTTCAGTTTTGTAATATGTTAGTTAAAAGGAACGGAAATGACTATTTTTGGTCTATTCGTTTCCTGCAAAAATCAACAACAACGGTAGAATCGCCATCTAGTGAGGTGTATTTTTAGTGCTTTTTTTTTTTTTTCTTAAAATACTTCATCATTGAATGTTCGTTTGTATAATTTCATACGTGATTGATTCAATTAATTCTATTCGCCTCTATTTTCGCTCTAGGACTCATCGACCGTAGATCGGCGAACTCCGATTATAAAATGAGTATTCGTAAAGATATTTAAAACTCCATCACTGTTCTCGCATACTTATTAAAACACCTAAATCATATAATAAAAACGCGTATAGAAGATAGAATTTGAACGAAGCTTTAGAAATTCATCATCTAGAATCGCGTCTCTAAGCCTTTGCCTACATATTCGATCTCATTTAAAGTAGTCAATTAATGTTTAGCAATCTTAAGACTGGATATAATAGATCTTTGTTTTTAAGTGTCTTTCTTAGGTAGTGAGGTCGGATGATAAGTTTAATCTGATGATCTTTAAAGCGTCTTTCTTCTTGGTCTTCTTAGCTTTCCTAAACTGAAGATTCGAAGACAATTTTTTCGCTGATGACTGTTTTCGTGTACTGCTATAGTAGGGTTGTAGACAACCTGTGTTTTATATTTTTACTTTATAGATAGATATACATTAAATATATTTAAAAAATATTTTAAAAGATGAATTTTCAATGAATCAGAGGGTCGTGACGTCACGCGCTGTTTGCGGTCACGTGATAAAATATTTGTTTTTTTCATAATTTAGAAATATTATAAATATGATAAACATAAAAGTGTGATTATCGGTATATATATTCATTTTCGTTTAATGTGTCTCTGCACCCGTATTTACGTCGTTAGGGTTTGTTTATATATAATATTCTATTTGTTGACAGGAGCTTCGCAAGCACAACGTGTGCACTGTGGTGCGCGTATGCGAGCCCAGTTATAACACCGCTCCGCTGAAGGCAGAAGGTATCGAGGTGCGCGACTTGGCGTATGACGACGGCACTTTCCCGCCCGCTAACGTCGTAGAAGAATGGTTCGAAATACTGCGCGAAAAGTGAGTCTCCAATTAGCATTCGTTACATTACGGAGTGTTGTTCGCAACTTTTTAGATCAGTCGGTCATCTAATGGGTTTATGGTAAAACAGTGACGGTAGTATTAATCACGGTCAGACAGCAGCGGCTCAGGCCTTCCTTATAGATGGCGAAGGAGGATGAGCAATAACTAAAAAAAAATTCGTTGGCCCAATGCTGTTTGGAGGGTTTAATGATTGCAAATGCAGCCGGGACCAAAGGCTTAACATGTCTTCCGAAGCAAGGATTAGCTCAAGATAACAATTTTTTGGTCACCCATCCCGTGACTGACCATTACGAAAGTTGCTTAGCGACTACGATCGCCGCGGTGCTTATCTACTACGCCATCGAGCTACTCGGCAATAATATCTTTAATTATTAGACTGATGAATGATGGATATATTCTTATACAAATTGAATTAATCAGACGCGTCACTGAACGTCGACTCGATAATTTTGAGTGCCTACATAATAGATTTACTCGCGACTGGCATGCATGTGCTTGAATTTCGAAATTAAATCTTCAGGGAGACTTTTTTTTTCCGAATCTGTACTAAAGTCCTGATTGATGTGGAAATATGCATGCATATTTACTTTTACGTTGATCAATAAACATTTTAAAGTTTACTGTGTAAATAATTATGTTTTAGCGTGTCAATGAAATTACCATTAAAATTTTGTCCGACCCTATCATTCATGTAAATTATTATACTTATGTGAGTATAATAATTTCCCAGAATAGTTTTTATTTTGAATTGCTGCTGGGATTTTTGTATTGTTGATCCGATCACTGTCGAGTGAACATAAATAAAACAATTATTTTAATGTGCATGCCTGGTTCGGTTAAATTCTAATCGGCACTACGAGAAATAACATGAGATGACGTCAATTCGCTGCGTTATTAAAATTTGAATTGGTATTGTGTGACGCATATTTGCTACCGGCGCAATACATTACTCATCGTACCTACTTTATATATATCGTCCAGAAAAAAATTGTCTAGTCAATAAATGTACCATGCTTAATCATTTTAAAAGCCATCGCGACTTTTAATGACTAAATTAAACGAAAAGTCTGCCAGGTCAATGGCAATTTATTTTTTATTTTTATCCTATTTTTATTCCTGTTAAAAATTCTAGGAAGTACAGTCAACATATACAAAACTGTCAAATATTGTAATTTTAAACCTTGTTGCATTGACGGCAGAGCTTAAAATCAGTTGTGGGAATTTGTCATTTTTTTTTTAATCGTTCATCTTTGTCGTGAACGAATTTGCGGGTAGATAGAAACTAGTAAATAGTGACTTTTTGTAAATACACCATCTCATATAGAATATTTGGTTGTAATAGATATGATGACTAATTCTTGTTTGTTCGTCAGATGGATTATTAAAGAATAAACACATTTTTTTTGCTCAATCGATAAATTACGACGAAACATTGAGTTAAAATCTCGCATGACGTCACCCTTTTGTAAATTTTCTACAAAACTGACGTGGCGAACCCCCCCCCCCCCCCCCTCAACTTTAATGCCTATTATACGTATCTGATATTTTTCTATTATCTGACTGACGGACTAAACAGTTTCTTTTTTTTTACTTTAAAAATTATAATGAACCTAATTTTTGGATAGAAAGTGTCTGTCGCGTGATCTAGATACATCTATTAATGAATATTGATAATTGCAGGGCTCAAAATAAGCCAGAGTCAGCGGTGGCCGTTCATTGCGTGGCAGGACTGGGCCGGGCGCCCGTCATGGTCGCCATTGCCCTCATCGAACTCGGCATGAAATACGAGGAGGCCGTCGAGACCATCAGGGAGTGAGTATAATTTGTCAAGCTTAGTTTTGCACTGCAAAGTTTCAATCACGGATCAGCACGCATAGCACGACGAACTCTTAGAACGAGTCGAGAGTAAGATATTGTATGGGTGCATCTAGTAAAGTGACGTTAGGATTTAGACAAAGGCCTGGAATGGAAAGGCTCTCATTCCTATTTAGAATTTAATGAGTAATTTATGTTTTTTTACATTACCTTTGATATTTAATCGATATAAAATTTTAATAAACTACATGTAAGCAAGATATTAAAATCCTTACAAACTGATCTTTATTCAAGGTAATAGATACCTTAATATTATGAATAAACCTCGCATAGTAATATTAAAAAAATATCTTTATAAACACCCAAAGAAATGTCAGTAAACAAAACATAGATATTAAAATAATAGTATCTTACCTTGATTTCTACATTTCTTAATAAATACTTCTGGTGGGGCAATTCTGAAGTCTGGAAAATTATTGCATAGCATCTTTTTAAATTTTATCATAACCAATAAATTATAATAAACTGGCCTTAGTTACAATAATTTTAGTTTATCTATGTCGCTTATCGGTCACGACGAGGATTTTTATCACATCCTCTGGTAGTTTAATATTTTATGCCCTTGAAAAACACCTTGACGGTGTTATTCATTAACCAGGGTTTGACGATAATAGCTTGATTTTTATGAGATATATCCATTTCTTTATTTCACAGCATCTCAATAGTGCTTATAAATAGAATTAAAAGTTTTGTTGTGTACTCTGAAAAACAGCTCTAACTTTGGGACTAAAGCTAGGGCAATAAAAACTTTAATATGAAACTGACGTCAGAAAAATTAATGTGCCTTTTATTTTATAAAAAAGTCTAAAAATAGTTACGGTACGTACTTCAATCTTATCAAAGAGAGGTGGTGGACACAAGTTTATTATATTTATTATATAACCATGAAATTATGGATCTGTCTTTATATACTTAGTTACTAGCTGAGCCTATCACGCATTGTGCTGTTATTCATAATGATAAATGATTCATATAAAAACTATCCTTTAAGACCAAATTACAGATAAATGTGATATTTAATTAAAATTGGTCCAGCCGTTTTGGAGTTTATTATGACATACATCGTGACACATTTTTATATAGAGATTTGTTTAAAAAGTGTTCTTAATTAATTTTATAAAGAGGAAAGATTTGATTGTTTTCGAATAGGCTTCGAAACGACTGGATATTTTTTTTTTAATTCGAGGCTATAATTTACGCGGCCACGTCGCCGTCTCGTAGGAATACAGCTAATTTTAAATAAAAGCTTCATGAAACATGAACAAAGGTCACTTTAAAGGATAACGATTACTTATGATCAGAGGTCGGAATTAGGTAGAGTTATTTATGTACTTGCATCGAAATGTTGATATTAATGTGGACCTTCCCGGGATTTCTAATGGACAATCCCGTGTGGCCAACAATCTTACAACTAAATAATAATAACAACGTCAGAGATAGACAAATAACATTTTTTTTAATTTATTTTCAGTCAACGCCGAGGGGCTATCAACGCCAAACAGCTCTCTTACCTGGAGAAGTATCGACCAAAGTCGCGTCTCAAGAAGAACGGGCACAAGAACGGTTGCTGCGTTCAGTAGGCGATTAGGCTGCGAGCGGCGCGCGACACGCCTCTAGGAAACCGTCCTGCGCCCTTAACAGCGAATCTAGCTCTGCTTTCACACACACACTAACACAAGGGAGCATAGACAACATTCAATTAGTACCTTTTTTTTATATATAACGTAGAATGTCGCCTCTTTTTGACGACCACCATTTTGTTTCAATAACTTTTGTTACTTTCAATGAGGTCGAGAAGTTGTAACCGAATTCTCGATTCGGAAACTTCCAGCTCGGATATAGATATCACACATTCCCGTTTAGTTTTCCACTGAACTGATTAGAATTTGGTTATGACCTTGGTACCTCTATTACTGTCTTCGACATGTTTATCTCGAGTTTTTCTATGAAATTTAATGCTAACGTTTGTATGTTTCGAGTAAAGATATATAACCCTCGTGCTGTACGGTGTATTAGTGGTAATAATTAATAGAAACGAGCCACGATTTGTGTTCATAGTTGAAACAGTTACTCGGGTATTTTACATATTTTTTAAATCATAATAAATTCAATATCCATAATAAATGCAATGCAGTCGATAATTATGCTCTTGAATATATATATAATTTTTATTTCAATTATTTAATTTCGTGTGGTGAAATCATGAATATAATTTTGGTAATTGATTTCCATATAGCTATATTAATTTTTATTATTGTTATAATTTGCGACGCAATTTCACACTCGTGTATAATTTTCTTAGGGAAATTAATTGTTTGGACAAAGTTTTGAATAATATTGCTTTTGTGAAAGATATTAATTGTTGTGTAAACGCCAACGATTGTTTAGTATAAAAATGTTACAGCTTGTGACTTATTATCAGACGAAACTCTCGTAATGGATAAACCTCAACACGACACATTGACATAATGTTCCAATGAAAAAATAGCTCTTTGATATTATTTTTCTATTTCTAATTTTATGAAGATTATCGAAGTGTAATGATCGTGTATCTAAGGAACAGTCACATTCATAAATAAAAAATATTTATAAGCAACAAATGTTTTATTTCTTATACATCTAGAAACCAATAAATACTTCTGATTATTAAAAAAAAAACTGTAGAAGGATATCAATAAATTTTTTATTAAGTACTCATTGAGGTAGAACATTAATTGTACATAAATTTTATAATTTATTTTAATGAACGCCGATCTTATTATCTAAAACCAAGTTCCTCGTTTATTTCATAACATACATTTTTTATGTTCACACATTATAAAATATTGCTACAACGGTCAGTTGCACAAACGTCCATTAGTGTTAAATGACGCTTTAAACGAATGTAATTTTTTATGGATATTTGTGCAACTGGCTGCAAGTCTGTTAACTTGGTATTTTATATTATCTTTGAACTTACAATAAATATAACTAATATTTGTATAAAAGAAGCGTAAATTTGGCCAGTTCTTTTTTTCAAATTTTTGATATTCTTCAACTGAACGAAGTTTAGAAGAGATAGAAAGTTATTTTTTATCTTCTGAATTAAGAATGCTACACGTCACAAACAGCACGTCAGGTTATGCCAATATGTCGAATTTCTCCATTTGATTTTGTAGCTTAATGTTTTGAGGGTAGAATTTAAAATCAACTATAGAAATTTCATATATTGTAGTAGCCTGATGTGCAGCCGTGTGTACAATCAATAGTAAGATAGGTTACGCAAAATCCGCCATTCTCTAATCAATTTAAACCTTCATCTCTAGAATTTTCAGTTCAACTGAAATCTACATCTACATTTTCAAATAACATGATGAACTGTGTACTTTCTAAATCACAATAGGGACTATGACTAATTTTTGTTTGTTAGTCCGTCAGGTAGATCATTGTAAAAAAAAAAAAAATTTACGTATTTTTTCGAGTTGAAATGACGTCTAGGGAACCGTCAAGTTGAAAGCCAATTATCGAAGCAATTTCTTGCTAAATCGAAACAAAAAAATATATATATATGAATATTATCTGATTGTATTGACAATTTCTTTTTTAACCTTGTCATTATCCCTATTCAAGATTTAAACAACTGTTATTTATATTATGAATGACATAGGAATATTATCATGACAGTTCACTTCTTAGACGTGTACTTGTGTACTTTCCCACCGTATCGTGCGACGAACGCGGCGACGTTAAACTTACGTTTGCACCCGTCATAGTTCATGTATCGGATCTTGCCGAACACAGTGCGCTCCGCCCAGCCTTGATCGTGAATACCACACGTAGACCACATACAACCTGTAGTCAAATAAACATAATACTTATAAGTTAAATAAATCAACACCTGCATGGAAAAACATCGTAACTCACTTTTTGATGATATTAAGAAAAAGATGTGGATTTTTTTTTACATTTATTCTCAATTTTGCAGATAAGTAAAACATCGTAACTGTAGTTACCAAGATCGTACATTTAGTTGCATGTAACTTTTAAGTGACTCATTATTAATTAATATGAACAAAATTGTGATATTTTGTACACTGTTATGTCTATAAAACTCAGTTATAATGTTTTCACTCCTGCAAGTTTTAATGTGATCAGTGACTTGATCGAGTCCAACAAAAATCAATTACTGTAGGTTACAAGATTTTACTCTTAGTCAACGTTTTTACGTTTGCAAAGTGCCCAACGATATTCCAGCCCTTCGGAAACCCATCACCAGTTACAAATAACTCAGGAGAAATCCCCGATGTACTGATGGATGAACCGACTCACTAAATGTTAAATATCAACCACTAGATTTCGCTCTGGATTTGCAACAAATGATCACCTCTAGAAGCTAAATATCGTAATTGGAAATTACAACGAGTACCGTATTCCACTCATTATCACAATTGAAAACCTCTTGCGGTCTGTAGAATTAACGAGACGGTACACTATAACTCGTTACTCCTTAAAGCAGATAAACAGTACGATTCGTCAGTAAGACTTCATAAGCTGATATAATATTGGTCGTGGAATTTGTCAAGGAGATACTACAATATCTCCATAATATACTAAGGGTTCTTGCAAATAGTTTTAAAAGAGTTATAATGGAACAAAATATGACTAAATAACAATCGAAAAAGGTTGAGTAGCCTCGGGTCTTTTGGCCCACAACGTTGACGATAGTTAAATCTACAAAAATAGTCTTGAAGAAGTTTGCAATTGAAGGACTATTTTTTATAAAATAAAGACGAATATTTCAGAGGCAGAATAACATTGAATGACACTCGACATTTTTCACCTAAATTCATTTAGGACACAAAATAACGTTGGACCTATCAAACCAGACGGCGGAGATACAAGCAATGATCAAATTTTATACATAAAAAATAAATAAATATTGGTTAACATAAATAAGCACTGAATAAGTTTGTCTACTTTTAGCTAACGTTCAGTTTTTCTAATCTAGGAATTCTCGCACAGAATGAAAGATACATTCAGTAAGTCAATTATATAAATCTAACATAGATGCCAGATCATAGTTTGTTACGAAGATTCTTTTGCTTCTTCACGTTTAAGCGAATGAGTAATAGAGAAAAAAATATTTGTACTATTCCAAGGATACAGGGAATTTGATTTTAATATAGTTTGGTTAGAGATAATGAGGGCTACCTTTTTTAGCTCATCAGATGGTTCGCACATAAATGTGCCAATTTATAAAAAATATCAAGGACGCTTCATAAATATTAACCTCTTAATTACCTGTTCTTTCAACCCGGTGAATTTAATCAATTAATTCAATTTTTAAAGTACTGACATTCACCGACTATTAATTTGGGCTATACTAGCGCCTCTGGTGGCAAATTCGAACGCGTTAGCCATCATTACACAAACATAAGGCTGCGTTTACATGAGTTTGCCCCGCACGATTGCCTTGTTATAAAGAATTTGAACGTAATGGCCTAGTTAATAGAGATTAAATGGTTATGAATGATGAAACCGTACTGACCGACATATCCGTTTGGGTCTCGTCCGTCGATGCTATAATGATCATTAAGATATATGCTGTATCGGAGAGCATCCTCAGGTGTAGATGTCCACTCCAGTATCTTCTTGCACCTGTTATGATAATAGGCTAGTTGACATTGAAATTTTTATTTTATATATAAATAGTCCAATAATTTCTGAGAAATAATGTACAAGCAACAACATGTCGGCGATTAATAGTTTCGTAGATACAGTGCAGTTTTTGTGGAACTGCTGCTTGTCAGCCGAAATTCAAGTCACAAAGTGACGTCACACAGTGCTACGGTAGCGAAAAACGTATGGACGTCTGGGCAACCTTTGTAATATTTTTGCGTTTATGTTCATAGCTGTTGTAAAGTAAGTTGATGTTTTATGTAACTAATTTAATACCATATGTATGTTTTCTGGTCTTTTTTTTTAAGTTTCCAAAGCATAATATTTTCCAAATCAGTGCCTTAAAATTTATTTTGTCAAATATTTATAAGTTAAAGTGGTTTATATTTTTCTAACATATAACAGAAGCCTGTATTCTCACGTGCAGATCACAAGCCTATATTGCTCAGATTCCAAAATGAGTAGCGAAAGACCCCGTATTATGGTAATGAAAGTGTAACACTTTCATTGTCATAATTTTTAACGTAAAACAAAAATAATTTATATATATTACTCGTTCATACACACCAGTACATACGTAGGAATCCGTGCATCTTGCCTTCTTTTACCAACTGCAGTTGGGCAGAGTTCCACAGCTCGTCATGTGTCTCTGCTTTAGATAACTGCTCCAGACTGTATATGTGAGTTCTTTTGTCCTTTCTGTGAATATTCAACATTAGTTGTTTAGAAATTTTAACGTAACGACGATGGTGGCGAGAAGAAAAATCGCATGAATAACTTATTAATCGTGATTTTTTTGTATGTATGTCACGTGACCTGAAACACCCGCCATTGTGTGAAGTTCACTCCGGCGACAACTGTCAGATTAGTTTTAAACATATGCCTATTTAATATAAATCAAATTTCTATATGGCGTTGTTTTATATCTTTTTATTTCGTAGTTGATCATTAGATGTCTCTTCTTGTTTATTGATATCTTTTACAACTCTACTCTACGCATCTCCTACAACATCTGTTTACTCTATGCATCTGTCATCCGCCATATTGATAACGTCATTAGGATATGTTTGTGTACATATCAGAATGAAGTCATGAATATGACGGAAAGCGTTTTCGCGGGTATTTGAAAAGATTAAACTTTGATTAAATTTTAAGGAAATAAAACATGTTTATTTTGCTGAAATATTAGTTTTGTGGCTTTTTTAATAAAATGGCTTTAATACAGGTCAGACAATATTTACAGAGGTTGAAATTAAGAAATAGCATGATAACAATCACCCATTAATTGAGTGAACAGATAATTTTTTGGTGGGCGACAATAATCAGTCACAGTACTTGAATAGTCTATCAACATCAAAGATTGCAACGATCTAATAGCATATAGCGCCATCTAGTCTAGAGCCTTGGAATTGCTTATGTATAAAGTTTATTATGTTGTACAGTAAACTTAATTTTATTTGATACTTCTAACGTTAACGTTTCACATCAAAGAGTTCTATATAAATATATAGATACTATAATTCAGTCGAGTACGAACCTGTGATCATCCAAAGTTTTTTGCGCCCAGTTACTTGCACCTTTAATGCTATCATAGTGTTCACAATAAAAACAAAAATTATCAGCAAGCTCTCTGCGGACTATTGCTTCTTCTAGGAATGCGTTTACACATTCTGTATGCTTCGTTTTATATTCTTGCACACAAAGGGCTACTCTCTGAACTGATATCTGACCTGCAATCAGTAATACCTGTGGTAATACAGTGAGTGGAGCTCTAAAGGATTGTCGTTACAAATACAAAAACAATGATGATTTATTAATTTCATTATAAGGGTTGGTAACACTTGGCTTTCAACACAAGTGTATGCATCAACTGACTGGAGACATGAGGCACATAGACCTAATATTATTGTATTCCTAAAGTAAAAATATATAATTTATTTCTACAATATCATATAATACATAAAATTTATGAATTAGCATTTATAATCTTACCAAAATGAAACCATGGTGATAAATTACTGCAGGCATCTTGAGTTGGATCATTTCGTTTGGAAGAAAATATTTTTAACCTCTTTTCAATGAAACTTTTCAACATTTTCATGGCTTCATCATAGCCAGGTCTCGCCCAGTTTACTGGTCCTACTGATTTATCAGCTTCTCTTGATTCAATCGCTTCATCCCAATCTATTGGCTGTGGGACAAATGATTAAAGGAAGATCAATTTATATTGCTCTAATTAAGCAAACTAATATCAACGCCTACTGCTGGGACATAGGCTTTCCCTATCATATACACCCAGTTGTTAGTGTGTCAATTGATATGGAAGAAATTCATTTTGCTAACTTTTGTATTGAGTTTTATTTACAGGGTAGAACGAGTACCATTTAAGAAATTAGCATGGATTACAAAATGCTCACCAAAACTGTGCGCTCGCTTTGACGTCAGAGCATTACGACTACGTCACGGCGAAGCTGCGAATATTTTAAAAGAATTGCGTGGTCCAATGTTATGCAACTCGCCATGTGGATTGGTTCAAAGGCGTCACGGAAAAGTTCTAATGTCACAATACCAAGGCTTTCCCTATGAATAGAATCTCTAGACATAATAATGGGTGACTATTAACAGGAATATTATTGGGTAATCTGCAGTTCACACCATGCAGTGTTTTTGATCACAAGTAATAACTGTTTTGTTTTAATGCAAGTGTTATTTTTGTCCTACATTCAATAATCGACTTGCATATTTGTTTGATATACTAATTATTTCATAATAAATTTAGACTATCTTACCTCGGGCTCAAATTTACTTGTGAATGGATGTTTGATCAGTGGTGGGAAATCTGTGAGATATTCACTCAGTTTTGAGTTGATCTTATTTCTAATTGTTCTTGCAGAGTATTCTTGTTTATCAGAGGCTTCCCAGCAGGGAACTATGTTGTGAGCATCAACCTATTTCAATAAAATAATAATTATCTAATTAACTAAGATATATTTCTAGTATTAATTAAAATACAAGCTTTGGACACATTTGACCAAAAAATAAGTATTGTAAAGTGTATACTAAGGGATGGTATGGAATGTTGATTCTGTAAAGGCCATATTTATAAAAAGGCCCCTGTTAAGATATGCCAATGTGTTTAAGCCGTGACACAGATTTACTGCAGTATTTTATAATTTTAAGATACTTTTATATTATACCATAATAGAAAAATCTTCATTATCATTTACAATTTACATGTACAAATTTAGAGTAGACAACAATATTATGTAACTATTGTTAGCTTTATTGATAAAAGCAATTTCTTCCTGGGAACTCAAAGATGAAGAAAGATAATAATGAACATAAAATGTAAAATGATATTCATAAATCTGAGACCAAATAATATATGACCTGGATCAAAGGTACGTCTTTTTTGAGCTTTTTTTTGCAACCCTCCAGCCATCCCAGAGGTACTCTGAGTGGATTAAAATCACAGACCACTGCACCAATCTTATGATCTGCTACCCATTGAGGCAATGCTTCCGCACCACTGCCTTCCAGGAGATGAAATGATATATTCAGTTTCTTGCATTCTGCTGCTACTTTTTCTAGACCTGTAAAATAAAAATAAAGTATTAAAAACATGACACAATTCAATTCCCATGTTGAAAATAAAGCCACAGTATACTTTTCTCAATTATTGAAAAGACAAATTAAGATTATTTTGGAAAATTATTGGATCACTCACAATTATTATATCCATTAACTTAATAAATCACTTAGGAACAGTCATCAAAAACTTTGTTTATTTGCAATAAAAGTACCTTTGACAAGGAAATGAAACTGCCTTACTGAGGCATCCAAGTACTTGGAGATCAGGCAAAAGCAAACATGAAGTGGAACTTCATTTTTCAAAGCAAGTTTTTGAGCAAACAAGAATGCCCAATTATCTTGAACTCTACTGTCTCGGGACATCCAGTAAACTATTCCTTCACAATTGTCAGAAACCGTTTGTTCTTGAGATATTATTCGCAGTCTTTTTCTATTGAACTTGTAATGAAGAATTGACTCTGCAGTCTCTTCGCGTTTCGCTTGAATTTTTTGCATAAAACTGTTAAGATCTGTTGTGGTCTCTTCAGTGTTCACAGAAGCTAGAGTGGAAAGCTTTGGCTTTTTTGCTGCCGATGCCATTTTACAAAAAGTTTTTATAGAAAAAAATCTCATATAATGAATTGTTTGTAACAAAAATCATGCCCGCCAAACAAAGATAGTGAAGTAAAGATAGGTATGTGATTTGGGATAAATATCGATATGTAAATGTCAATAAATCGCATATTTCACTCAATGTCATCGTTATGTAAGAAGTACTTTTAATTACCATAAAAATATACATATTGTTTCGTTAAAGTACCATTTAAACCAATATAATCGATATTTTTAATTTGTAAAGTGATAATCCATAATATTATTTGTCGAGTATCACGTTCAATGTTTTTAATACAGTTTAATATAGTTCGAAAGTACCAACCACTCAATAATTTTGCAATCTTAGGAAAGTGACAGTTTTGGGCACCAAATTACGTAATATTTTTTCATAACAAATAAAGTAATTTTGGTATATAAAAGAATCAGACTGACAAGCAAAAGCATTAAATAATAACATTTTTAACACCCTTTATATCAAATAATTATTGTCCGTATTAAATAAATACGATTACGTTCTCAATGAAAAATACTTAAAAAATCCACTTTGTTCCTGGCACTTTCAGAGTGCTAGAACCCACATATTTAGTATAGCACTGTGAATGCAAAATTGATTAAATATACCTAATAAATATTAATCGTATTTATTTTTATACTTATGTTGTAACAAAAAATACGATTAATCGATATTTACGTATACCTTAAAATGAAACGATATCGATATAGGTATTTTTTACATTATATCCCTAGATATGTCAAGTATGTTTCGTTCATTAGAGGCAAGCGAAGGAACATTGCTATACTGCTAGATCATAAGTGTTATGTATGTCATGTTGTAAGTTAGAATTAATAAGTACTACGTACAACTAGAATGCTTACTTTGCGTCTAAACATGCGCCGAGTGAGAGGTCATAAATCTTGGTTTGTCCCTTTCTAAGTAGTGTAACCATTCTTACCTGAATACATTGGACATTAAAAGAAAATATTGATTATTGTAATTGAATAATATTAATATGAAGCAGAAAAAAATCTTATTTAATCTCAACTCAACAATAATAAATTTTGAAACTATGGAAATCAGCAATTTCATAGGCAGCCCTCCCCCCTTCCCCCCCACTGGGGGAAGACCTAATAATAAAACGCAATCAAAATAGTATATTTTATTATGACTGTATTGTTTACATTTTAAAATTAAACATTACTTAACAAAATTGTTTTGTGCAATTTATGGCGTAAAGTAGCGCGAGATGTGCCAATGGCCTTGAATGTGAGACCTTTGCCATAAGTTGATATTCTTATTATGAGAATCTCATGCCTTTGTAAGATTTATTTTTGTTCAATTGCTGATGAATATTTGGGAAACAGTTTGTTATGACAGATTGTACCTTTTCATAATTTTTACAATTTTCTTTTAAAACTGCTAAAAGTGACTTTAAATTATTAATCTTCATCTTCATGTCTCTTCTTTTGATTTTTGCCTAGTATTAATATCAAGTTTTAACTTCTTACATGAAGGACTCTAGTCAGGCGTATAACTAAAGGCGTTTTACACATTATTTTTTTTGTTATCAGGAAAAATCTGTAATGAAATTAGGTAGGTACATAAAAATAAGTTATAATATGAATTGTTGTTTTAACTTATTATTTTCGATATAATGTTGTTTATAAATGAGTGCTTTAATGATTAGGTAGGTACCTTTGGCAAGATTGAAGGAATCACTTCTGATTTCAGCCTTTTTCGAGCCTCTGTTCGGTAATCTTTGGTTTTGAAATGAAGTGTACAAACCACACAGCTTTCATGTAAGTTCCCAGGTATCAACCATTTTTTCTTTAACTCTAAATCCGATGGCAAACTGGAAATTTAAATTAAAATGTATATTTTTTATTAAAGTAATATTTTGGTTTGGTTTGGTGTGTAAATAGATATTTGCAAAAGATCGATCAAACGATAAGCCTACTGACCAATAAAATTATTAAAGGATACCCATTTATGAGCCTCCACATGCTTGTTTAATGTAGGTAGACTTGCAAATAGTGAATAACCAAAGTGTTAAGTGATACAACAAGTTTAAATTTAGTACTTAATTAGGCAATAATAGGGTCTATGCTTATAGTACGTACGTACTTTACATCTCTATACGTAAAGTATAGTCACCCTAGTTTCTACTGATGACATACTTACCTGTGAAAAGATAATCCACAGCCAGGTACGATTCTTTCCCATACCCACTCACAGCACATATGTTGTTTACCATTTTTCAATCCAATATACTATTTAAAGCACTTTTTTAATTCAGAGAGCATTAAAAACAAGTCCATATGACAAAAAAGAAAACGCCATGTTGCTTTTGTGGTGCCACGTGAATACTTCAATTTACCTAGTGTTGCATAACGTAAAGGTAATAAAACATGCCTACAATATTGAAATGTCGTGAAATATAAAAACTTTGATTTATCTGGACCTAAAAGCTATTGCATTTATATTATTAGTAAACTTATAAACAAGCCAAATATAATATTCATATAGAAAACGTTTTGTTCTGTGTAAACAGTTTTCACGAATTTACCACCTTTATATCAACAATATTTCACATGGCAATTGTGCGACAGAGACACACCAAGAAAAAAGATGTCTCACTTGAGCTCATTTCTCTATGTAGATAATGGTTATTTAAAAAACACTTTATTCACATATCATTAAGGTTCATTTTGATATGTAAAAAAGATCGCAGTTAGCATTCCAGTTGTACGTAGTACTTATTAATTCTATGCCCGTAAATTACTAATGCGGTGGAACCTTGTCTATATAACACCAGCGTGACGTCATTTGAAAATAGAAAGTACGTATAGACAGCACAAAATGCAAGATACTAATTATTTATGAATTAGTGAAACACATATTGTTATAATAATAAAATAACTTTTAGGTTTGTATTTATTGCATGAATATTTGGAAAAGGTCAATTTATATGTTAAAATTGAGGTATATGGAAAATGAAATAAAAAATTTAAAAATAACATTTAATTTGTAATATCGCGTTTTTAAAACATTGTTTTTATGGGACTGCTATTATATTCTATAACAAGGAGACCCTATTAAAATTTTAATCTAGTGGAAAGAAAAGATGTCGTGTCCTTAGAATTTTGTTTGATTGGTAGAATGATAAATCTAAGAATCCATTATATTGCTTTTTAAACCCTCGTCGTGAAGGTTTAAGAAACGATAAAGTAGGCTTGCGCTTGGTTTGGCTCATTTTGTCTTGTTTGAGTATTTATTGTTTTCCAGATTTTGCCCGATTCGCTAATAATATTTGTTTAAATGTTTACCAAATAAAATAAAACGAGATTATTATTTCGAAAGTAAGTAATCGTTATCAAAATTTAAGTTATCACTTTCAGACGGTGTAGAAAAATAAATACGTTTTATATATTCGCTACAAGGATGGCAATTAGCTCTACCAATGTTTGTCTTTATGCATTCTATAGAACAGAAGGCGACAAGCTTGCAAGACATGCATTCAATTTTTTCTTCGTCGAAAGGCAATGCGCATTCAAAACATACGTTGAATTTCAGTTCCTCCTAAAAATGTAGACCAAGATAAAGAATTTTATATTTAACGATGGTAAAGGACGTTTGTTTTTTTGTTTCTTTTTGCAATGTTTTCATTAAAAATTCAGTATATCATTTAAAAAACCATAAATAAAAATACACTCACTGACACGATTAATTTGATGTACTATTTTTTTAAATACGTTAAAATACTGAAATGAAGGTGATTAATTAATTAAAAATGATTTTTAATTAATTATTCAGAGACCTGATTACGATAAGGTATATTAGTGCATCACCCAAAGTGACGTTATTTGTTTCGGATTTATCATTTATGTCGCACTTGAGGCTTTTAACCTCATCGTCAATTTTAGACCCCGGGCATGGACGAATAATATCGGTCCATGTGTGATTAGATTTTCGTTCGGGTCAATACTTGGGGTTTATTTCTCTAAGAGTCATTATAGGAAATAAAGTTTTTTAGTACAAGCGTTGTTTCGAATTTTCATAACATGGTATTTTCCACCATTTTACCTTAAGACAGTATAACGTATGTGGTGGATGGGTTACGCATTAAGTTTTATAAACTAAATAGCTAATCACTTATTTTATGTGAAATAAAGCCATTATTATTATTATTAATTACCGTTTTCGGTGTTAGTTCCGGTTGTACATAAGGTCTTTTCCACTTCATTTCACTTGCTTTCAATTTTGATGTCATTTTACGCTCCTTCAATAAACGACACACCGTCAGTTCTATAGAATACTTTTCGTCAGCTGTTAATTTTGTAGTAGCGAGTATCTTCGTCTTACTATTATAATACATTACAATATTAAGTAAGTACTTTAGTATGCGACTGTCATTGTAATTTTTCTTCTTGGTTTCTTTCATTATGTCCCAGATCTCTAAGCATCGCTGCGCGTTTAGCCATAACCTTGCGCCTTTTTTGTGTTTATGCTCTTTCATAATCATATTCCATTGACGGTGATTAAACCTGTCGAGAATGTGAGAATACATTTACTATTGAATTGAATTGAAAATTGAAAGTGCACATGTGACTGCACACGATTCCGTTTAATGTGGCGTATGCTGAATGTTCGTTTGCGCACAGCAGATCTATCAAATCCGATGATGACCGAATATTTAGGAATAAAACTGAAAAACACTTATCGCCTATTTGAATTAAAAGTGTATATACGTGTGATGAATTGGTTCCTGTTATTCTTTTATTCACTTAACCTATGATTAATTGTTTGTGAGTTGTAAGCAGGTTAGCCCACAGCAACAGCGTGAACGTCAAGGTAGCAGGCATACACCAACGATTTTAAAACAGTTCAGCAAGTGGATAGGTCATTTTGTTCTAAACTCATTATATCTCAAAATTATTTTGTTGCCACTGTTAAACTGTTATGTTATCATTATAAGATCATAGTCTTTTTTTCTCTATTTATAATATAATGATCTGGTAATGACATGGTTTTGTAAATGACTCTCATTAGGGCTCGTGATTTCTTGCTAGTTTTTCTTATCAGCCAAAAGACCTGCTGAACGTAGGTAAAACCGTAGCAGGGAAAAAATGTTGGATGATTCAAAAGTACTTTTAAGAAGTCTATTTGAATAAAGATTATTTGACTTTGGCTTTGACTTTCTGATTATTATATGTTGTGAATCACTAAGTTGTCTATTAAATCTATGGCTTGTTTTTAATTTTTAGACTCTAGTCTAAAAATATAAAGTAAGTTGGGTCGGTATAATTAGTATGAATATTGAGTTCAAACATTTAAACTAAAGCTCTCGATATATGTTGCTTTAACTGACTTGACAATGATTTCCACGAGATCCCTCGTTAGCTTCGCCTGTAACCACCGTACGTGTAGCAGCCGGGCGCATTCGACTATCAAATCTATGGCTTGTTTGTAATCTCCAACGTCGTCAGTGATCATTTTTCCCGAAGGTTTAGTAGAAAGCTGTTCCTTTTTAGGTTTTTTGGGATCTTCTTTTACCTTTTTAGAATCAGCTTTATCTTAAACATTCAAGAAATTTTATATGAATTTGAAAGATATTTTCCGCTTACTTGAACGTATGTTGTTATAACATAAAATAACCTACTTACTTGGACTGTTAGTAGCAGGAGACTTAGATGGTATATTTTCCAAATCGGTGAGCGTTTTTTTAGCGAACACAAATATATTAGGGAATCTATCTTCGCCATTTCTACATTCTAATAATGGATCAGCGCCGAATAAAAGTAAATTGGTCAGCTGTGTACAAAATCAAATAAGAATTCAGTTATCAATTTAATGTATATTTCTATTAATAATGCAATAAAATCTTACAGTTTGAACCCTGTCTGCAGATGCAATGTTTTTGAAGAAGGGCATAGAAAAAAATTTTACTAGCAAGCTTTGATTTCCGTCATTGATGATGGAGTTTAGATTTGTAGTTCGATTTTCTATGAATACGTTTAGTAAGCGCATATTTTTTGTCATTGCGATCTCTAATGCCGAACGACCTTTGAATTGGACGATGGGATTGCAACCATAATCTAATAAAACCTCCAATAAACTATGCTGGATCTAAAATGAAAATTAATAATAATTATTGTTACAACTTGCATAGATTACTTATTTTTAGAATTTAGTAAATTTTCACCTCCTCCTGCACTTCGTTTTCAGGTTGTTTAGCTAATACGGCATGTAATAAACTAGGACCATGCAATTCTATCTCTGGAGAATTTAACGATGTCGTTTCTTCATAATTCAGTCTGTGATTTGGCAATCCACCACATTTGAGAACAACTTTTACCATTTCTAGGTTTTCGAATGACAATGGCCTAGATACAGCTAAGTCCAGTGGAGTATAACCAAATACCTGAAGAGTAATATGTCGAGCGAGAAATTATAATGTAGCGTAATTAGGCAAGTACTTAATCATAATATCAAATGTTAATTAATGAGAAGTTTTCTTTTACCATTGGATACAATTCGTTGATATCTGCTCCGTAATTAACTAAATGCTCGATAAGATTAGGGCATCCTGACATGATAGCGGTAAAAATAGCCGAATGTGGACACGTCACCAATTTTGGATTTGCTCCGTCCGCTAATAGTTGTAGTATTGTTAACATTACTCTCGATAACCTGTGTTCAATGAAACACTTATAGCCCAGTCATATTAGGGGTTTCACCTCGGAATGAAAGATAATAAGCTGGAAATTGGTAAAAACCTTTGTTTTGTCACCCTAAATATTGTCTCAAAAGTCACAAATGCTATCGTGTCCGCGTCTTAAGATATTGAAGGTCAAAGGTCACAAAAAACGATTTTTCGCAAATATCTCGGTTTCTATTGCTTAAATGATATTTTCACCTATCATGAAAGTTGTAGAGTATAAAATTCTCTACAACTTTTGCCTAAACTTTTTTTTTATACGATCAATCGTTTTTGAGGTAGAGCGCGAAGAGTGCGCAGCGTACAGTCATATATGAGCTAATGCAGGGTCAAGCGTGAGTTACGGTTATCAGTACGTTGTATAAAGTCAATTATTGACAAAAATATATTTTAGATATACCTTTATTTATCATTAAATATGACATGTTATACATTTATTAAAATGTGAGTTTAAATATTAAAATAATTTGTGAATCGAATGAAATTGCGAATGGAAGCTAGTTATCTTCTTCTTCGTCGTCTTCTTCTTGTTGTCGCTCTAAAATATTCAATTCATTGTCATCATCCTCATTATCGGTCATATTCATTTCCAAACCTTCTAGAATTTCAGGATCGTATGTGCTTTCTTCATCGGGATTACTTGGATATAGTGGAGCGTTGAGGCAAGCTTGTCCATTGCACTGGCCACAAGCTAAAGAACATTTTCTGCATCCACAGCGGGAACCACAACCATTTTTGCAATTGCAAAATATTGTGTTTAGTAGTTCGGCTGGTGCTGGAGGTAATAACGTTGTTATGGGCTCCAGGATTTCATTTTCAAGCTTCCAGCCCCATTCTTGAGGTTCTAAGTTCTTCCCTAGCCACGTTTGAATCTGGTAGTAGACATGATTGATATGTTGACGGGCTGCTACACTTGTTGGTGGAAGTGTTGACAATTGTACAGGTTTATTTAGTTTTGTTAATTTGATGAATTGCGTGTAGCGGAAATAATCAAGGTTGTCCTCAGATTTGGGAGCATTATATAATGCCAAAAAGATGCGCACTCCATTTTCAAATAAAGTTTGTACGGGGCAGTTTTCTTGTTGAAATACTTCCACCAGTTTATCCAAATTGGTAATTTTCTCCAATGCTCTAGTAACAGATTTTTTCCTTTTTTAAATAGCGCAGAAGTCGTGTCACAGCCACTAAATACGTGTAAAAATAAAATGTGTTTTTTAATACGAGGATATTGGTCAAAACTTTAGTTGAATAATTAAATATAAATAATTAAGAATAAGTACAGAAATAATGGGCATTGCTTAATAATTATAATTTTTTGTCAATAATTGACTTTATACAACGTACTGATAACCGTAACTTAGGCATGTGCGCCGATGCCGAAATCTTCGGCGGCGGCGTGGAGCTAAAAATTCAGTGGCGGCGGCGTAAATGGCGGCGTAAACGGCGTCGTTATGTCAAATGATGGAAAATTAAAATTTAAATAATTCAGAATGCCTTTATTGACATAACAAATATAAAAGCTACTTAAACTAATAACACCTTTTAAGTAACAAATATGGCACAACTATACTCTTCAAAATTATGTAACGTAGTCATAATGATGTTAAACAACAATATGAAGGTACTATTTTGTTCGATAACTTTTTGCCATCTTGTAGGTAGGAACATGATCCCATTGCTATAGAAATTTTGGGGCGTCTAATAAAGAAACCGCGTCAAGTGGTTTTGACAATACATGCGTGATGTTAACTGGACACTGCCTAAAAAAATCTGTAGAGACCTAAACAGGTGGAAATCTGAAGGTGCAAGGTCAGGACTATACGGCAGATGTATTAACACCTTTCAGCCAAACTCTTAATTTATTTAAAAACCACTCCCTTTCTATTGATTAATTCTGGCCGCTTTCTCCCAATTTCTTGCTTTAATCTCATCAGTTATTCGCAGTAGAGTTCAGAATCGATGAAACTGCCTGACGGTAACAGCTCATAATGAATAATACCCTTCCAATCCCACCATACAAACAGTATCACCTTTTTGCCAGCTAACCCGGATTTCGCCTGACCGACCTTTGACCACGATTTTTTTCGTATGTTCTTGTCGTACGTGGTCCAGTTTTTATCACCAGTTAGAAAAACAAATGAAAATCACACATTTTCTTAATTTGAAATTTGAACTTTTTAATAATATCGCAACCAGCCATATAGAAATGGTATAGCCAGAAAGATTTTATTACAACTTTATGCATACTATATACGAAAAGACTTTTTCCCCAACCTAATAGTTATCACGTATAGAAATTATTTTATTGATATTATTCCCAGCTGGACGCAATCGTTTAATCGTTTTAGTAAGACCAGCTACAAAGAATACATGTTCGCTAGGTGTGCTTGTAGCGGGTTAGCTAGAGTAGACAAATAAGAGTAAGTATTGAATTTTTTATTTCTGCCAACTTTATCTTGAAAACGAGTGCTACATTGATTGTACAAGATTCACAGCTGTAACTAAAGAAGAAAGATTAGATTGTTTATTTGTTTGCATCTGTTCATTTATTTTACTTTTGTATTCATTAAAAATTTACTAAATATGGAAATACGAAACGGAATTAACACGTGCCGACAGAATGCACTATATTGCTTAGCAACCGAGCGAACGAATGTTACTCGCAGTTCGTGTCATACCGCGCCGTTTACGCCGGTCTTTCGAACCGGTCAGCGGCGGCGTGTCATGATCGGCGGCGTCGGTCATCGGCGCGGCGCGGCGCACACGTCTACCGTAACTCACGCTTGACCCTGCATTAGCTCATATATGACTGTACGCTGCGCACTCTTCGCGCTCTACCTCAAAAACGGTTGATCGTATAAAAAAAAAGTTTTGACAAAAGTTGTAGAGAATTTTATACTCTACAACTTTCATAATAGGTGAAAATATCATTTAAGCAATAGGAACCGAGATATTCGCGAAAAATCGTTTTTTGTGACCTTTGACCTTCAATATCTTAAGACGCGGACACGATAGCATTTGTGACTTTTGAGACAATATTTAGGGCGACAAAACAAAGGTTTTTACCAATTTCCAGCTTATTATCCTTCATTCCGAGGTTGACCCCTTTTTTTACCTAATTTCACTGGGTTATTAATTTTAACATAACAGTAAGTGTTATATTTTTAAAAGCAGGATCAATATTTCAAAAACTCACTTTTCCTCTTTTTGTTTTTCACTACTGTCCAATGAAGTATCGTCTTTTTCATTACCCTGCCACATTATTTCCTTACTAGGTTTCATTGTGTCTTTTATAACTTTAGACGGCACCCGTTTAGTCCCTTTGTCTGGCACTTTCTTTGTTTCTTCCTCGGTAATATCAATATCTTTAACCATATCGCAAACTCCAAATATATACGGTATCGGATTGACTGTTGTCGGACATGAATAAAGATCATTTATTCTAATGATAAATTCATTGTTCATGTTATAATACAGACGCTTATCTTCAGTGAAAGATTCCTCAGAGCTGGTTTCGTGAACGTGTGACTTCAATGCCGCAGGATCAGTTTTCTTTTTATCGCTAAATAAATCTTTAGAAGAAAGTTCTCCTTTAACTTTTTTTTCATTCACTGTCTTAGATTGTTTACTAGGAAGTTTTATCGTACCATTTGTTATATTTGTCGGTTGACTACGTTCGATGTGCCATTCACAAATTTGCTGCTGTTCAAGATCTGAAAATGACGAAGTGATGTTCCTTGACTGCCCAACCATGTCTTTCCCGTTAAATACATCTCTTCCTGTATTTTATTTATTTCTATTGATTGAAGTATTTTTATTTCTATAGCGAAAGATAATCGTCTAAAAATTTCTTATCTTAACGGAAAATATATTTAGTAAAGTTTTAAGAATACGAGGGTCAAACTGAAAGTTCTTAGAAAATCAAAAACTGATTACATTAGCCAGTTATTAGTTTTATTATATCTTTTCAAAATATTGTCCATTCACGTCAATACACCGCTGCATGCGATGGAACCACTGGGAAAAGCACTTTGCCCACTCGTCCTTAGGGGTCTCTTCAATGGCATCGCGATACGCAGCCACCGCTTCTTCAGCATTCATAAACCGCTTTCCTTTAAGTTTTTCTTTAATTTTTGGAAATAAATAAAAATCACAAGGCGCGAGGTCGGGGCTATACGGCGGGTGACCCAGTAATTCAACGTTTGATGTCGCCAAATAGTCGATCGTTCGCTTGGCGGTGTGCGACGAGGCGTTGTCGTGGTGAAGGAGGATCCTACTGCGAGGTCGTTTCTCTCGAACTTTTTCCAAGACAAGTGGCAAACAATTGGTAGTGTACCATTCTGCAGAAACTGTTTTTTGATCCTCTAACACAATTGTTGCAAAATGACCTATCCTTCCAAAGAACGAGGCCACCATTTTTTTCCCGCACTTCGATCTCTCTTCACTTTAGTTGGCAACTCCTCGAAAGGAAACACCCACTGAGCAGATTGTCTTTTGGTTTTAGGATCATAACAGTAAATCCAGCTTTCGTCACCTGTTAGTATGTCGAACACAGCATTTGAGTCACCTCCGTTAAATCTTTCAATCATTTTACGACACCAATCCACACGATGGAGTTTTTGAGCCTCAGTCAAATTATGAGGTATCCACCGGGCGCAAAGCTTCCTGACCGCTAAATGTTCGTGGAGGATTTTGTGCACTTGACTCATACCGATGCCTAAGCTTGTCCGAATCTGTTGATAGGTCACTCTTTTGTCAGTCTCTATCATACGCCGCACAACACAGATGTTATCTTCAGTCGTCGCCGTAGAAGGCCGTCCCTCACGTAAATCATCAGTGAGATTAGTGCGACCACGTTTAAACTCATTAAACCAGTTGTAAACAGTCGCACGAGATGGGGCTTCATCGTGAAAGGCCAATCGTAGTCTATCATAACTTTCTTGTTGACTTAAATGACATCGAAAGTCATAAAAAATCATTGCACGAAAATTTTCTCGTGTTAAATTCATGATGACGTGACACAGACAATTTTCAATTTGCCGCCAAATCGTAAAACAAATGACAAATGAATGAAATATATACTCAGTAATATTGGCAAAGAGTTATATTTTCAAATTTTAGAATTATTTTTTTATTATATTGTTTATAAGTGGCCAGTTCTAAAAACTTTCAGTTTGACCCTCGTACTATTAATATTAGAAATGTGACAGTTTTTTTGTTTGGATGTTTGTCCGTCAATCACGCCGAAATTACTTAACGGATTTTGATGAAATTTGGTATACAGATAGGGTATTAGCTTTTTATCCCACTAAACATTTCCCTAGAGACCACGCGGGCGAAGCCGCTAGCGAAAGCTAGTATCATAATAAGAACGTATTTAAAGAAAAACAATATTTAGTTTATGTTCTTCGTGAAGTAAAATCTATATATATACTACAATAAACAGTAAGAATAGTGTGTCTGCACCAGTGGCGGACTAAGGGAGACTAAGGGAATAAGCGGCGTATGGGCGGTCTCCGGTCCTAGGAGGCCGGTCCAAATGGGCTGCAATGCGCGAACGTAATATCTAGTTTCTGCCCTGGTTTGAAAAAGTTGTCGATCCGGGCCTAGGGCCTCCGATGAGATCAGTCCACCACTGGTCCGTACATTAAATTTATTTAATTAAAATTGATTCTGGGCGATATTAAAACACGAACAGAATACAAGTACAATAAGAGTTTTTCCATGTGATAAGCATATTTTGCTGCGTTATTAAAATTTAAACATCTGATGTGGAATCCTAAGAGTCCACTGCACCATAAAATATAGCGAAACGATGTCTGAACAGAAGTTGAAGCTGAGCATCCTACTTTTCAACTCGTATGGCTCTTCACCTTCTTAACGATAATCAACACTAGGACAACTCTCTTAAAGAAGCATGGTTAGTCATTTGTTCGTAATAATGTTGGTATTTTCTGGTCATCTGAACGACCAACCTTTAAGGATATGCGAAAAATATAAAAAAATCTATTTAGACATTTTACTCACTTTGACACACAATGCGCAAATCAACTGCGAATATGTTGCTGAAACTAATCACTCTTTTACATCAAAATGAGTCACCGCAGTTAATATTTCAAAGAGAGAGTAAAGAAAGAGCAATCCTGTTGCTTCCCGCTGTAGGACGGCACACACAAACCTGTTCTATAACGCGGAATTGACAAAGCGAGTGTTACGCGATTGCTGCTTAGGGATAAATATATCATGTCAAACGAAACACCTCGATGCTGTGGACAGAACGTTATGAGATATTCGCCGAGATGATCGACCAATGAGTAACGTTACAAGCCTCTTCTCATTAGGTTATTGTAAAACTCTTTAACCGAAATAAATAAAGGAACAAGAGCAGATGAAATTAATGCTTCAATGAAGAATAAAACAAATCTGTGGCCACATAAACAAATATATATACTGACAATTAATATGAGAGTCTAACTTAGCGATGTTTTATAAGCCCAAGAATTTTTCAGTATGTTGAGAAAAATTCAAAAGGACATGGGCGGGTGATGATTCCTGGTGTGCTGGGTAAAATTATCGCTTCAGAAGAAAAAGTATTGGAGACCAGAATTATATTCCGAGCATAAGAAATATTTGGATATACGAACTCGGGGTATTAGCCCTCGAAATGTCCAAGCAGCCGCAATTAACGAAAAATTATTGCAGAAACTTTTGTGGATGAACGAGAAACCTTTCTTCACTGAAGTAATGCAACGGAACCATGCATAAGACAATAGCTCTGCAGAGAAATATTATTGAAGCAGAGTTTCTGAGCGGCTGCAGTACGGCTGAAATTGCGCAAATTTATTTATTTAGCACTAGCTGACCCGACAGACTTCGTCCTGTCAAAAAGATTTGTAATGTGGCAGTTTTTTTCAAATATAAATTATTTTTTCACTAATCACGAACTAAACAAACACTAACTAAGTAAACACTCTGCACAAAACACGATATACGAATTTGTTTCGTGTATCAGTTGACAAAAGCAAACTCAGTAGATTAGGTCACAGACAACTTTTTTTTTTTTTTAAATTTGATATGACTTGAAGTCAAATCCTTTTAAGCCGTACGAATTGTTTTATTGATTTAAAATTTGGATATTAAAAATAATAAAACACTGTTGGTAACGCGATTTTTGTTTGACTGATGTAATGACGTGGAAACTGATGCATTTTATCTCGCGTGCCGAAACTAATACAAAAGAAACGCGAGTTTCGGAACGCGACATTAAACTCCTCCAACTATGTATTCTGTGCTCCAACGCACACACGCACATTGTTTTGATAGATATGATCTTTGACGTTAGGAACACACCTACATTGCTTAGACAACAGTGAGTGCTTGTAATTTAATATGAACTTTATACCATAGCAATAAAGCTCAAATTGACTACGTTTTAGTTACAAATCATTTGTATGGGAAAAAGAAAAGGGCTATTTTTAGGGTTTTTCCAGCAATAATTCTAATTTTTCTCGCCGTAAAAACCATCCTTGAACTTCAACGAACATTTTAAAAAAAGATTTGGCCAAATTGGTCGAGGCGTTGTTGAGTTATGCGCTTACCAACACATTTTGCGATTCATTTTTATATATATAGATAATAACGATTGCTACATCATTAAATAAAATTTGCTATATTTTAAATCATTTATCACATGCAAAAATGGATACATACATTTACTTAGTATACAGTTCATACAATCTCACTTCATGAAAAATAACTAGACAATAGTTGCAAATAAATAACGACTGAAAAAACAATTATTTAAGCACTAATGGTTTCAATTCAGAATAATATTAAATTGAATTAGAGACATCACGTTTACATAATAGAACCACTAAGTATATTTGTGTGATAAATAGTCTACCGATTCCCGACACTGGTGAAATTGCACCCAAAACCGTGTATCACTAATCCCCAGCAATTTTCCGTTTGAATTCCAACGCCAATGGGGTGCGTGCCTGTGGCTACTTGCTTCGCCATGACGATAAGTTATAAAGATAAACGCTTAAAAAGGCTGGTGTAGATTAAAAGACAGGTTGTTTTCCCAAGGATAGCTGTACGTAGAGTCAGTATGTTGCGGGTTTGTTTATATACAAATAACCAATTATATATAAAGAGTTTCTGTGAATTTTCAGTCATTTAATATAGTCCACGCGCGTCGGACGCGCTTCAATAGCTATACTCCATTCATTATAGCATTAGACAGAAGTGAAATAAGGTTCTTTTTATGGTATACTTTGTGACAAAATATCAAGAATTACGAGATAGTTTTTCTAATTTTAGGTACATGTCAATTATAATGTTGTTATTCTAACAATTATACTAGAGACCCGTATTGGATGTAATTTACATGTATGTCTGAAGTCTTTAACAATTATTATAACAATTCAGTTTATTTACTTTAAACTATTTTACAGAAAAACTACTTCCAATACTTTTTTAAAATCAAAATCTGCTTACTTTGAATTGGAACTGTCGACGACGGTAATAGTGCTTGAAGCATATCACCAGGTGATATGTTATTATAAACACAAGCCAAACGCAACATTGCTATACCGAGTGGTGTACAACAGGCATCGTTATAATCGTCCACATTAGCACCAGCTTCCACTAGAAAATGTATTATGTCTTGTCTGTCGCCACACTGTATTGAACAAGTTTATTAAGTAGTTATAAAAAAGGCTTATGTTTAACAAGCTGTATTCCCGCGACTTATAGCATGTGATGTAGTTTTCCGTAAGTGAAAGAATAGGGTAGTTTCGGTAACGAAAAATAAGTCACGAAAATAAACAAAAACTTACATTTTTAAATTAAAAAAACTTTTAAGTTTTATTTCTAACGGAGTAGAATATCCTATTTTCATGATCGGGTCAGTATTTCCGAAGATTATTCCTTACAAATAAACAAACAAAGTTAGAAACTTTACCTGTTTATAATATTACTATAGATAAAAGATTATTTAAAATATTTTAAAAGTTTGGAAGTCTGCAAGAATTACATCGGTACATAAAGGAGTTTGTAAAAAGATGTAACTAACTATAGGTCAATTTCGATTCTACTTGTTCTGTTGAAGATTCTTGAGAAGTTGAATGAGATGCATCCATATATTACCTCAACAGCATGGTTTTGTGCATAAAAGATCTACCACCACTAACTTGTTAGCCTATACAACTGATTTGTATTGACGAAAGAAGACAAAAAAAACGAAAATAGTGACAACAAACAAACTAAGTGTATACATTGACTTCAAAAAAAGCCTTTGACAGAGTGGTTCATAGAATATTACTGGAAAAAATTGCTTTTAACGAAATCAGAGGTAATCTGTGGCCGTAGTTTAGATCATATATAACGAACTTAACGCAAAAAGTAATTATAAATTCGGACACTATCCCGTTAACATCAGGCGTTCCTCAAGGTTCGACCCTTGGTCCATTGCTCTTCGTTCTTTTCATTAATGACATAGGTAACAATTTAGTGCTTTTCTTTAAAAGCTTTACAGTGCTTGAAAAATGAAATAGTTCTAAGCACTGTAATTTTCTAACTGTTCTATTGACAAACTTTTATAATTATTTTTAACTTTACTATTGCTCTCAACTACATAGTAAAATGTATTTAACTACTTATGGTCAGCGTTGTTGGTTTTACAATCACAATACGTAATAATATTATTATTAGTTTAAGTAATTTCATTTTGAAACTGTTTGTAAAATTGGAAGATATCTTACAGTAGCGTACATAACAGCGGTGTTGCCTTGAGAGTCAGCAACGTCAGGATGAACTCCTTGTTCGTTTATCAATTGTAAAACATTTTGAATATGCCCTAAATAGCTTGCCATTAGGAGTGTTCTGTAATAGTTAAGATTTATTTTTCAATAGAATCAGGCCTTGCCAAGTCCATAACTATAAAATTACTTTGGACTCCTAGTTTTGCACTCGTGCACTGTTGCATATCAACAAACCTAACAATTATCACCGAGTTCCTATTACTGGACTGTATATGTTAGTACAATAAGTAACTGTTATTTATTCAAAAATGTATACATGTCTAGTCTAGTCTGATTCTAGAGCAGGAGAAAAAACGGACAATAAATGTCACAATATATATGAGAGCGTTGAAAGGAAACAAAACGTATCGTCCATAGACGACTGTATCATTTTCGCTGAATACTGTCTATTGTTCTCGAGACGCTATAGGTCGCTGAACTCACCGTCTAAAAAACTGCATTACTTCGCAGTATACATACTATACAGAGGCGTAGGGTAGCGATTCATATCGTCGAGTTTAACCGTGCACCTAATAATTTGGATCATACCCGTTTTTTCACCTATCCTAAGAACAAAATCATATAGGGCTTAATTTTAATAGACCAATCATTGCTTCACTTCCGCCTTAGTCCCGTTTTTATCTTTGCCTGAATATTGAGTAATTATATACTCTTAGTACCTACATCGTATTGAAGTATCAACTATTACTTGTAATATACATTTGAGAATTTGATATCATGTTGCTTTATACTGTTAGCATTTTATCTTCTTTTTTATTTCTCTTCGTTTGATTTCCACGAATTTGGTAACATGATGGTGATTATTTCGTTTCTCATTCATATTTAAAAGTCAAAGAATAGGGGCTCAGGAAACAAAATTCATTACAAAAACATTTCACTATCCATATGTGGGGTTAATAAATAATACCTAGCTGTTACTTACAGCTTCGTCCGCTTAGTCAAAGGGATGTCACCAGAGATCTTTCCTGAAAAAGAATTCTTCTCCTTCTAGATTTACACAAACATCATACCATAACGCCGTAATTGTGACACACATGTACTGTTCTATTAATATGGAAGTATAATAACCTGCAGTCAAGCTCATGTTTCCCGGGCTGCTTGAAGTGTCCTCTTGATCCAGATAATACATTAGCCAAATTTATTTCAAAGTGATTTCTCTGTTCGTCATGAGTAAAGCTGTGTTTCATCATGTGGACCAAAGTTTTATTATTGTTCCAAGCATAATAATATTTAAGTCCACTATCAACTTCAGTATCGTCCTCGCTAGGCGTTTCCTATGCCCAAATATGAGTGATAAATTAACTGAAGAAAATACAAGGCATATCTACACCAAAACAAGACAAAGTAAGAGACTTGACAGATGTGTAAACGAAAGGCAAGAGAGGTTAAAAAATATTAACCTGTTAAAAATGAATGGCATTTAGAAATATAGACGATATCTGATGCTTAGATCTTAAGAAGGTAAAGCCTTCTATTATATAATTCAATTCCACGACGGTAGCACAATAATCCTTGCTGGAGATATATAAGAAATATTATTTATTCGCGTTGACCCGATTGGAAATCTTAACTGGAACTTCAGAGTTGATGTCGATGTAATGAAAAATGTACGTGTGAGCCAATCGGAACCACGAAGATCGCACGCAGTTTTAGGAAAGTTCGTTAGGAACAATAATGAAATAACGAATTTCATTATTGTTGATTGTCTAATATAAAATAATAATCACCTTTACAATCTTCGGCATGTTAATTTCTTCGAGCAAAATAATTTTCCCTTTATAATAATCACGTTCAAAAACTTCCGTGTTACACAACAGGCTGGATAAATCGGTACAGTTTTTTGGGTACAATTTCATCCATTTCTCCGTCGCAGACAATGGGTTCGAACCATATTGCTTCAACATATCTAACGCGCTATTCGTTTTACCTATCTGTCAAAAATAAGTTCAATTGTAGAAAATTCATACGATTTTGATCAAGACACATAATAATATAATAATATTAATTTCAAGATAACATTTACAAATTTGTGATATACTGGTCCCCACACTAGGCAAGGCTTGACCTGTGGGAACAGCAGAGTTCGATTTCAATTACAAATGTTAACGGCACTTTACAGCGTGTAAATTAAAATAAAAGAAAATAAGCTAGAAACAAACATCAAATCTTAATAATGTTACAATGAAAAGGTAAACGCGCGTGTGCGTGTGTGTGTGGGTGTGTTGGTGATTTTCTCGACTTATTTATACTGCAGTATTAATGGGTTCATTTAGTAACTTTCAGGAAATCTTCTGTGTCGCCGTGAGTCCAATCAAGATCAAGACACAAACCAATTAATCACCAAAACAGCTATATAATTCAATAAATGTATTGGACTCATGCAGTTCAGATGTATAAATCCTTTAAAGACATTAAATATTGAATAAACTAACAGTTTTATTTCTTGTAGAAAGAACAATGCGATGAGGGTCAACGCAAGCTCGACCCGCGGGAGTCGTACAGAAGTCCGGCGTGATGCTGGGTGTTTTGGGCCGCCATGTTAGCCTGATCAGCTGTGTGCCGCGCCAGACACCAACGTCTTGTTTGAGGCAAGCTTGAGATTCGATACCTGGACCCCAACGGATGTTGCTGTGAAACAATCCCTGGGGAACACATGTCAATTTAAACATTATATTCTAGATACAAACTTTTTGCCAGTGACTTCGCTCCCGTGGTCTCTAGGGAACTGTTTAACGTGATAAATAGTAACTATATATCAATCCGTTAAATAGTTTTTGCGTGAAGAAGTAACAAATAACCAAACTTTCATATTTCGCCTATATAATAAGTTTTTATTAGTAAGATAATAAAATGTCTGGACCGAATTGTCTATTGATCATTTAAACTTCTCTCGTAAAAACATCAAATGTACAGTTTCATCAAATGACATTATATTCCTAAATGCTTTATCCTTATTTCGTCCAACTCCCTGGTTTGGAGTCGACTAGAATATGCTTCAGTCCATTGCAATCTATCATACGCAAACATTCTTAGCGTATTTAGTTGTACTAGACAAGGGTTTAAATCTCGAACATTTCCTATACCAACAAATAAGTAGGTAAGATGTTTAATTTCCGTAATAATATTTAAAACATTAATCGGAGCAATTTCTATTTCATAATCAATCGGATTTGATAATTTCCTGTGAGCCCCGTGTTAATAATATTAATTTGGTGGAGTCTTCTAATCTTTCCCAAAACCCGAAATTTTAGTGTGACCTTATTATAAAATCTTGTTTTGATTAATTCTTTCTAATGAATGGGATTGAATAATTAAAAGAATCAACGGAATTAAGAAATCCCTTTATGAAATGGATTAAAATATACAGGACTTACGGTAAACGTCTTCCCGTCAGGGTAGGACATGGTCCCGTATCCGTGCATACGATTGCAGTAAAAGTATCCCTCGTATGTGAAATGAGTACCTTCGGGACCAAGGTATCGCCAGCGATACTCCCCGAAACCATGCATTGTGTCACGATGATGTCGTCCGTGGTACCATTCTAGAGACTGAAGTTGTGTTAAAGGGTATTTTATTTCTATTCTTTCGTCTAAACAAATATTTACGAACCAAATCAGAGACGGATTTGCAGGCTTGAATTTATGCACTTTTGACCAAAATTAATGAAATACGGTTAAGAAGTTGTTGTGTTGATATGAAATTATAATTTCTAATTGTCTGTCTTACCACTTGTTGGTATATATCGTTGTGGAAAACTACTCGCCTAAAATAGGATTGTACGTACTTACATCTGATACAATATATATCTGAGTAATAAAAAACACTCGTTATTCCATGAAAATACTTCGAACAGTTGTTTTATTCTAGTTTTATATCAGATCAGTATATCTGTTTTATGAGTTTGTCTTGGATAATATATTAAGATACAATTTCCCTTAGCTGCTGATGAAATTACCATCATTCAGCTTTTGACACGTAATTTTGTATGCTATTATTATTGGCCGTCCCTAATATCTGATTCCCTTAGGCCCGGGCCTACTGTGGCCTTTGAGCAAATCCGACAGTCTTATGACGTCTATTTTTAAGTTCAACACCAGCAATATTTACCGCATATTAATTTAAACATGTTAAAATATATAACTATACAAATTTTATAACAACGCTGCTTTTTCAGACTCTAAACTTATTCAGTCTGGGTTTGTTAAAACGTGAATATTTGCGTTTGTATGAAATCGGGATGAGTTACCGAAGCACCATAAATCTAAAATAAATCATAGATCAATGCTTCGGAAGGTAAGTTAAGCTTTTGTTCACCTTTTATTTACATAATATACCAAACTGTAATATAATCTTGTGGCTGGTTAAGGACCGTTACCCTTTCGTTTCTGCCTTTGAAGAATTCATGTAACAATACGAATTAGTACAAAGACCTTGGCACCCGACCAATGGTTCTCTCCTTTCCCATTCCTTCTCCCGTCGTCGTCCTTGTCACCTATATAATATTCAACATAGTTCCACGATTTTTCAGTTTTGGCAACATTATCTTCACATAGTTTCTTTTGATTTTCCATTTAAGTATATTTATTAAAATATAAACATGTTTTTTTATTAAATTGATCAAAATTCAACACCACACTGCATAAAAAAATTGTCAATGACGGTTGTATGACTGTTATGTACACTATACTGTCATAGTGTAAAACATTGGATTAAATTCTCTTTAGATTGACTCAAAAATTAAAAGTATACACACGTCTGCACGATGGGTTACGAGAATATGTCAAATTTCCTCATTCAATTTTGAACTTTAAAATGAAGTAGGGAAATTTATATATTAAACTTATCTAAGTTCTGTTCTTATAACATAAATCTATGAGAAAAGCCTTCGATCACTAATACCGTTATGACAGAAGTTAGCATACTAGCGGGAAATGTTGAAAATTAAATTTATTTTCAGATTTTGACAGGGAAAAGCAGAAAGATTTGGAGAAGAGAGGAAAAGAGAGCCCACGTAGTTATTTTTTAGACATCATTCGTGGTTTTACTCAAATACAAATAGAAGTTGAAATAGGTATAAACCGCGTATAAACACGCAGTTGTTGAAATAAAAATGTAAAAAGTGTTATAAATGTTATAATTTTCCGTATAAAAATTTTATCGCATCCTTTCATGTAAAAAGTATTTCTTATGACTATACATTAGGGTGTCCTTTATATTTCGAGTTATATATATTTTACGCATACCCTTTTAAACGATACGTATAACTAAATATTGACTAGAAAATAATTTTGGACCATTTAATAAACGATAACCCATGCCGACTTACGATTTAAAGTTGTATACAATAGCAAGGGTTACGCTGCGCCCCGTAACCACGAGTCCATTTTGTCATACCATAAACAATTTTTGAGAAAATCAGTTTGCTAATTTTTGTATCAATAATAAGTGTTGAAAGTTTGTAATAAAACCTTATTAGTAGTAACCTCATTAAAAAGTTTTTGTATTATAAGTAAATTAAGGGTATGTTCCGATATACACTGCGAGCACTGCGCAGTGGTCTTACTGCTGAAAAATCCGTTCCGTTATGGACTGCCAGTATACCGCTACAGTACCCTAGGGAAATTTATGACGTCATAAATTGCCGCCATATTTGTACTGTGAGCACTGGAGATTTCGAGGTAAGGTGCTCGCAGTGCTTTTGATCACGTGATCAGTCGAAACAGAATCAGAAAATGATAAGTTTCTAAATAAACAAAAAAAAATACTTACGTTTATTATAAGATGGATTTAATTGATAAATAATTTTTTTATATAATTTTCCAAGTTTCTTTTGAAAAGATTGAATCTTTATATTCACCTTGCATTAACAAATTTGAAAATTGCGCCAAAAAATAGGATTAACAGTATACTGGACTGCGTTCCGTTTTAAAAAGTCACCAGTATAACTAGCTATAAAGGAACGGACTTCCAGTATACTAAATTGACGTCATACTGTTCAGTGGTCGCAGTGTATATCGGAACATACCCTAAGTCAATGTCTTCTTTTTCTTTTTTTTTTTAATTCTGGCCTTTTTCCATTAAACACAGAAATTCTGCCAATGTCCCGTTGTGAGGGAGACACGAAAGAAATTGCTCGGTAAGTAGTGTTTTAATAGTGAGTCTAATATATACTTTTACTCTTTGATATAAATCCTTTGGCCTAAAATAAAATATCGCGTGTGTGTCAAATACTTCTCGGTAGTTTAATTTTGATGAGTCATCATAATGTGTCAAGAGAATTACGAAATTATAAACATAATATTTACCTAGTTGCACTACCTAGGCCTTAAATAAATGGGGCCAAATTACCGTTTCATCAACAAGTTAACCCTCATTGAAACCTCTTTTATGTGTTCTGTGATTGAAAGTACAAATCTAGAAGATGCTCTGCTCCGGGTGACTGCTCAGCTGTCGTCCGGATAGCGAAAGGTCGTGCGTGGATTGGATTCCCATCTCAGGGTGCTAGGGACCAAGTGGATTTTTTAAGTATTTTTCATTAAGAATATATTTCAGCATAGCATTGTAACTGCAAAATTGTTCAAATATAATAAATAGAACAAAGTTTTCAAAAATCTTTATCAATAGTTTAAATAATTGTAAAAATATTTCTTTCGGCTGTTTGGGTAGATTGCCTGAGCATTGATGGAAACACGCTCTGTAGTTGCGAATAAGTAACAAGTGCTTGAAAGATTCGTCAGTCCTGTTATGTCCTGGGTAGCTCAGTGGTTAGAGCAGTCACCCGGATTGCGGAATGTCATGGGTTCGAGTCCCATCTCAGAATGCCAGGACAAAGAGAGTTTTTAAGCATATTTTACTATGAATGATATATTATCGGCCCGGCAATATACTATAAACTTCAAATTTTGTATTTCAGTATGTTTTAGCATACATAAAATAATTAGGGGTATGCATTACAAATATATTTTAAAAAATCTGGTCATATAAGGGACACCCTACTATACATATATCTATATGTTTTAATACAATTATTTTATCAGTGAGTACGTGAGATGGTTCCTTATATGCTTTTAGTAAAGTTCAAATTGTCATGAATATTACAAACAATTGCATCTCATACAACTAGTCTTTGCTCTCTCGAAGTATGTGTATTCCTGAAACAAGGAGACAAAATAACAGGTCAGTTAGATTATTAAAGAATATTAAGTAATCAATAAATTACGGCAATACATTGAGTTGAAATGTCGCATGACGTCACGCCTTTGTACATTTTCTACATAGGTGTGACGTAGTAAGCCCTCGCTCCTAAACTTTAATGCTTAATAACTAATTTCATTTCTTCTTATCATCTCAATCTTGTTAAATTAATCAATATACATTCATTAACAATATTTTTTTTCTCAAAAAAAAAAATGTCACGGTGGTGTTAATTTTGTTGTTCCAAACATTAACTGTAATCAAATAAATATAGTTAATTGTACTCTTGCCACTAAGATAGACAGTAGTCTTTGGATTAAGCATTACTTAATCAAAGAGATCTATTTTTGGTACTTACTACAATACAATAAGTTAATTTTTGCTATCTTTGTTTTTACAGAATTAAACACGCAGATTTTCCAATAGAATTACTACCAGTATTACTACTGAAATATTAAAATTAGATTTTATTGGAATTCCCGTTTTTTTCTTCTGATACTAGAAGTTGAATCTCACCAGTAAAAAAGCAGCAGCCAGCAGTAGCGCTTTATGCTTTGGTTGGACAGCGATATCAGGGTAGCATACAGTGGTTGTAAAGCTGTTTAGCTCTCGATCCCAGCCGTGAGATATTGTGCCCAATTCTCGTAATGCGTCTTTTGTTAGAATCTGTTGAAAAGTTTTTAATATGAATTCTTTAGTCATTTATTTCTTATCACATAAAAGTTATTAGACATCTATCTCTCAAAGATTAAGATTGCATAATCTTAATTCTAAGTGCATACTTACATGAGAAAAGCTTATATGAGGTGACCACAAAAAACCCAGTTTGTAGATATTATAGTAATGCAATTTATTTATCATAAAGCCTTTGTTTTAACTAAAGCCACAAAATGTAATTTTACAGTATTGTTATTAAAGTGGCTCAAAAGATTCAATTTTCAGGAGAAAATTCGGCGTAAAAATCTCCACAAGATTCAATAACGGTAAGAAGAAAAATTGTTAAAATATAAAAGGAAAGAAAATAATACTTTTTAAATATAATTAAGAGTTCTTAAAACGCAAGAATTACCACATAAATAAATTTCTATAGTGAGAATTACCTTGAATTCTGAAATAAGTAGAGCACTTCGTCTCACGGATGATGGTCCCTCGATCGTGTATAGAATTTCGTCCGTGGCACCGCGCACCAGGAAGAACGGCACCATCCAGGTCCATTGCTGCTGAACACGACCCACGTAGTCACCAGGAGGAGCTACCACTCTCATTTCCTAAAATTATTCATTTAACATGAGGTAGACGTCAAAAGTCTATAACATCGGTTTGATACTTTTTTCTGTGTTCCGTGGATTCACAAGCCTTTTCACAGTTCCGTATTCAAGGGGGTACACACTCAACTTTCCGTCTGTCTGTCTGTTACCTGGCAGTATCTGTGATATCGTTAGACAGTTGAATATTTCACAATTATGTATTTCTGTTGCCGCTTTAACAAAAAATACTTAAAAACTGAATAAAATGAATATTTAAGAGGGCTCCCATACAACAACTGTAGTTTTTGCGTTTTTCATAGATAGTGGTAGTAAAATTATTGTGGGTCAAATCTAGCTAACTAATTAATTGAACCATTTCCCGCTTTTTCTATTTTGCTGACATTGTGCATGCTCATATACCTTAGATGACAATTCAATGTTAATATGGAATGGAGCTGATCTGTCTGAATCCGGACCTATTGGACCTCTATTATTAAACGAAGCAAATGTACCTACATATTGAACTTGAGATCAATTAATTTTATTAAGTCAACTTTGAAAATAATGACTTTGGTCCGAGATAATATCCAGGATCTAATGATCCCTGAAAGTTCCTGTGAACTTTATAATTGGTAAAGCAACCATGTCGACTTTAGATTCTTTTGATTTGTCTTTATCTCTGGCACGAGGTGTACATTTCTTGTTTTCTAAAATAACATTAAATGTTCGATTCCAGGTAGGGTCAATGTAGTGAATGGGCTTTTTTATATGCTCCTTTTGGTCGGTCAGATAATTTAAACGTAATATATTTGTTTTTTTTTAACACTCAAGCTTTCAAAAACAGTGAAGTGTTTTTGAGCTGTCTGCACTTCCTTCTGTATGTAGCCGACTATTATACCTGAAGTCTACAAGGGAAGCAACAAGATGCAGCTGCGAGCCTCCTCTGTAGCACCAGTGCCTCCTGCCTGGTGTTATCGTGTAGGTGCATTACAAATGAACGGCCCGATCCGCAGAGACATCTCACGGTACGATTGGATACTTCACTCGCTATATATAAAGATTCTCCGCCTGGCACTTTTAATATGTACCGATTCTCTGATTCTATTCTGGATGTCACTAAAATTATATAAATTCATGATTTTTTTACCGATAAAGTAAGAGAACGAACAACCAATGATATACCTATAACACTATAAAATGTAATAGCGGCGGACATCTAGCGATGTTAAACTAGGACAAACTAATGTCAAATAAGTCGTACTAGGACGTTATTCAAATAATATAAAATATATATTTTTTTAATCTTTTAAGAAATTGAGCTGTAAATTCAAACTTGATTTTTAACCAATAAGTTAGTACATTAGATTAATATTACTATCAGTATTAAGTCATAACTACCTCTATATATAAGATATTAATATAGATAATAAATTGACTGAAATTCAATAACTTACTATCATATAGCTCGATGGTTTGTTTTATCTGGAGCCTAGAGACACCAATAAGGAAGTCCAAGCCATGCCTGGGGATGAACTGGCCCCGAGTATTCGTCTGCCAGTTTTCAGTAGTTACAGGTAATTCAGCTCTACCTATATGAAAATAACAAGGTTAAAAATTCATAAAAGACAAGATTTAAAAAACAGCAGTACTCAGCTCTTAAAAATATAAAGTCAAGCATAGCTCTGTCGCGTTATTAGTGTATGACAACAGAAGAAACCAGCACTCGCAATTCAGGAATGCGAGAACCTACACACCGGGGACACAGACTGGGTAATCCATCAGCACTTCGTGACACCTGTAAAGACCCAAAAGCTTTTGCACTTCTGAGGGAAGTTTAGTTTTTCAAGCACAATGGACCATTTAAAGGGAAAATTGGAACCTATGTGACAGCGCTGTGTTCGACGTTGCGTTCGTTGTTGTTTTATTACATAATAGTAACGCAGACGTTGGATGTTTGTTGACAAGACAGTTTTTTCTCATAATCCTTTTTGTATGTATAAGACAATCCGATATACATTACTAATTTTAGTTGAATAATTTATTAAATTATACAAATAAATGGTTGAATACAAGTATGTTGATATGTGCAAAAATTTCTGAGAACAAACAGCCGAATCAACTCTGACAATTTGGCAATTATTTTTATGGTCTGATGAAGGTTGCTATGGAGAAAAGTCGAGATTTAAATGAAAAATGCTTAAAAAAGAATTCACCCACCTTCTGATTGGGGCTGAACATTGATCACCAAATCTGGCCTCAAATTTATTCCATCATCTATAAAAACAGTAAAAATCATTACAAACTTTCAATAAAAACCAATGGAACTGGTCAAATGGCCATGGTTACATTTTGATAATTATCATAATTGTCTTCTTCTGCGTTTTTGTACAAGGATGCATGTAGTCTTTGAGTCAAATTAAAAGCAGGATAATAAGTTGCACCCCTGTTTCTGTGGTAAATACTTGTTATTGTATATCAAAATAATAAGACATAAGCTTGCTTGCATAAGTCTACCAAATCATAGTAAAGGTACAATATTTGAGTAGCTACACATTATATCACCAGCCGAGAAATTCCCCACTGCTGGGTCACTTTCCCTATGGGTGGAATTGAATCGAATAGTGTTGAAGCACGAACTTCCTTAATGGTTAGGCGGTCAGGCATGGCCAACTAGAATTTTTGTTTTTGGTCTCGGCATCAGTGATCTTCTTTTGTCTTTTTTCATCTTGCGCTTTTCTCACCGAACATCACGTTTTTTTTATATTTTTTTTATGGTTTTACTGTAAATATTACATTCAATTACCTATAAAACCAATGAATTTAAGATTTTTATTTACGCCATTTCTGAAGATCGTCTCGTCCTTGACAGCGCCGTATCATTGGAAATAAGACGATCTAACTTATAGGCGATTTATAAATTGGAGTTGGCGTCATCTTCATCGTGTCACCGAGTGCATTTAGTATGATGTCTCAACTATTATATTTAAATTAATCCAGCACTAAGGTAATCTATACTATAATAAAAACGTAACCGATCGATGTCTGTACATTGAAGATATATGAAAAAAACTGTTATGAGGGACATTTATAAGAGTAATAGAACACAAAACAATGATTTTTAATTTTTTTGTCTGTTTGTCGGTTTGTCTGTTTGTCTGTGCGTTTGTGCACGATAATCTCAGAAACGGCTGAACCGATTTAAATGCAGTTTTCACTATTATATTGCGACATTCTTCCGTTAACATTTAGTGTAAGATTTATTTCAATCGGTTCACAAATAAAAAAGTTATGTCAATTTGAAGTGACGTGGTCGCCAAAATTGCTATGAAATATTAACTGTTTTATTAAATTTTCGTCTTTGATATATTGATCATCATCATTAACTCTTTCACAGCCAAACTGCAGGGCCTCAGGCCTTTGTTTAATAATTTTTGGTCACCCATCCCGTGAACAACTCTTGCGAAAATTGCTTAGCAATAGCGATCGTGCGCAGCGGCGCATATCCGTAGCGCCACCGAGCTACGAATTAATATTGTCTATAAAATGATAATTTGTATGATGACAAATAAAAAAATAAGATTCCAAAATTTTGACAACTCCGAAGTAAGTTGACCTCATTTATATATGGCCAATCATATTAAATAGGGTTCAGCTTATAATGGACATGTGGTATACGATCACGCGAGTAGGAGAACAAGCGGAAAGAGCCTTCCGATGATGCAATTAAGCCTCGGGTACTTTACAGTGAACGCATATTTTTATCAGATTAGGTTCACGTCGTCGTTGGGGCCAGCGGAGGTGGTTGGCAGCCGCTCCCGCATTGCACGGTTTCGTCTGGGAGAGGCACTCGATTTACCCGAGTCTCTCCAATTTTCCATCTGCAAGGGGACCAATGGTCCAATACTTGAGTGTCCTGGTGACTCGGCCATAGCTTGCCGGTTTTCATTTCCCATGAGAAGGTGTAGAGTACGGGTTTTGGTGGGTAGGCCTCTGGGGACCCACCGGGCAGCTCACTGTCGGGTTCACGGAGGAGAATCCTACTCACCCCTGTTGCTTGCCAGGTAACAGAGACAATGTCAGAAGTTTTTCCACGACGTTAAAAAACTTAGATTCACGTCAACTGAAGTTAAGAACGTAAAGACAACTCGAGTTATATATATTTTTTTCTCTTATTGCTATTTTTTATGTTAATACTCTTTTTGTTTTTTTTTAACATACAAATTGCTGTAGATACGTACTTCAAAGTTGGTATTTTCAGTCTTCGCTGGAAACAATGCTTTATTCATTGGTCACAACACTCATATAATATTACGCGGTCTGAGGGTCGGTTCAGAGTAGCTCGGTGGCGTAGTGAATAAGCGCCATGGCCCGCGATTGTAGTTGTTAAGCAACTTTCGCAAAGGTCGGGCACAGGATGGATGACCAAAAAATATTATCTCAAGCAACTCCAAGCTTCGGAAAGCACGTAAAGCGATTGGTCCCGGTTGTATTTGCAGTCGTTAATATCCTCCAATCCACATTGGGCCAGCATGGAGGGTCGTGGCCCATCCTCTTTAACCATCCATAAGGAAGGCCTGAGCTCCTGCAGTTGGTGACGTAAAAGGGCTGATTATGATGATGATGATGATGAGGGCCGTTCAAATCTGACAGAAGCTCAGTTAAGCACCTCACGGAAGTATGTTAGTAGACGATTTCCTTCGAGTGTGGAAAGTCGAAATTAAAATATGTATATATTTTTTTATATCAATAAATAAAACTCCACGTATCTTCCGTCAGACATGTACTGACCGACTTTTATAGACAAAGAAAGAGATCAGACAGAAAGCGCTCGGTCTCGGGAGACACCTGAAAAACGCGAAGCGTATTTAACTGCCCATCGCGAGGCTCATGCACTATAAAGTTGAATCTGAAGCACTTACATACATGCAGTATGGTATGAGTATGAAACTTCTTTTGATAGGGAAATGCGCTTGGTCTCTTAAAGAGCTTGCAGTTTGCACAATAGAGATCGAGAAAGTAGTTTAGTTTATCGCCAACCCGTGTTGCCTTCATACTCCACAGGCGTACCGCAGATAAGTTTCACAGGGTATAATGAACTAGCTATTTTCCCACGACTTTGCCGCATAATTATAGCCTATGACATGCGCGTCTGATGTAGCTTCCCGTAGGTCGGAAACGCTCTGCAACTATCGGTCCAGTAGTATTGGAGCAAATTCGATGCAAACAAACAAACAACCAAATCTTTCCTCTTTATAATATTAGTATAGCTTAGGTATAAGGGGTCCGATGGCGTAGTGGGTTAGCGCATTAGGTTTAAATTGCAGTTAAATAAGTAAGTAAATACTGCACAACAAGGACATACATGAATACTTATTTTACATAAATAAGTACAAATGACAAACTCATCGCTAGCCAGCGATTTCTTCCAGGCAAACTAGCATTACATGAAAAATAGAACAACAAAATAGTCGATTGTGCATACAACTATACAAATAATAATAATTTAAAAAGATCAAAAACAAAAGAAGGACCGTTTAAAGGTATACGAATAAAATGCTCAGAGACAAGCAACAACCAGAGCGCGAGAAACGAGAAAAATATTGAAAAATAACATTCGTAAGGACCGTTTACAGGATGGGTGACCAAAACATTATTGTCTTGAGCACTGTGCACAATACTGGCATAATGCACATTAAGCCGTTAGTCCTGGCTGCATAAGCAACGTTAACACCCACCGATCCGCATTAAGCCCGCGTAGTGGGTTATGGCCCATTGATCATATTCGATTCGTCTGCATTCATAGGAAAAAAATAATTCTACCAAAATACTTCCCACGCAGACGAAGTCGCGGGCACAGCTAGTTAAGTATAAGTATGAACTGTACTTTTTTGAGTTTCTTACTTTATAGTAACCATTATTTATATATAAAAAATTTGAACCTCAGGCTTAAAAAAAATTATAAATAATCGGGCGGAGGTCTTCAGTAGGTTATTAATAAAATGATAGGAGCCCGAATACAAAAGCATATCGAACGTCTGTCTTTCTTTCTCTCTCAGCTAGTCATGCTTCAGTAAAATAGAATACTTTATACCATCCGTAAGAAATGTTCCAATGGCCTATCCAAATTTCATAGAATTTAAGTATTCTTAGATTGATTTCTATTGATTGATACTTAATACCTACCAAAATAAATTGGTGACGCTCTGTTATTCTGCATAATCTATTTTCTTTGTCTCGTACACTTAATAAATAGTTTCTTATGATAATAAAAAGATTTTCCGTTTATAGAAGTTACGGATATATTTTATTAAAAATATAATTCTATTTTTAATAGGTAATAGTATTATAATTTTGACAACTGCTTATTATTGATTTATAGGTGTTAATTGTACATGTACGATATATGACTCATATTTTACTTATCTATGCTTCTTTTACTTTGTTTATGTTGAAATAATTTCAAGACCCAAATGTTCATATCATTTCTCTATATATTACTTGTCCATTACGAGTTAATAGGGCACTGAAATAGTTTCGCCTAAGAATGGAAGCAATTTCAGAATGTATAAGATGCCTGACTTTAGTAAACTTTACAATTAGGTTAACTACATGAGCTTTCAACAATAATGGGCCTTTATGCTTATCACCAAAATTAATAAAGATTTCTATTTTCAAGAAAAGTTGGTAACTATTATTAACTTTGAAATATAGTTTACTATTGTTATTTATGTTTTCATAGCTCCTTTTTTTTTAAATACTTTACTGCAGGATTACTATTCTTGTGCCTTTTATTTCTTATTTAACAAACTATATTATTGAACTTTAATATAGGTAGGAGAATGTGTGAAAATGTTTCTTTATTTTATCTGAAAATTACTATTTTCAATTTAAACATACTTGATTGTTACCTTACCATTAGTTACAGCAGGATTATCAATTCCATTCATATCCTTAGCACTGTTCATTATGTTATATAAAATACACAACAACCGTATGAAAAGCAAATATTTATGTCTTTTAGATATGTTATTATATGTTCTTGGTTTCGTTACGTACTGAAATTATCGATGTTCACGCGACGTTATCAAGTTATCTATAGATAAATCCGATTGTGTTGGACAGCACGAATTTGTTTAAATATCGTGTTATGTGAGCTATTAATTAATTTAAATTAAATTAATACCTCCGTATTTCTGTAATAATCTAAATTAAAACTATATAATTTGCATTTACAATGCTATACTGAAAAATCTCAGAGTGCCAGGGACAAAGTGGATTTTTAATTAAGAATATATCAAAACATATAGTTTTTATCCATTGATCTGATGCGGAGAAAAATGTAATTCCTTTTGACGATTACTACTTACGTTATATTTAGTAATCGCATATTTAGTATTTAATAATTTTATATTGAATGTTTCATATCATTCACTGATGAAATTGCAAATTAATTATCTATTTAATTATAAATGATTGGTTGTTTTCCCGTGCCTTCGTCCGCATAAATTATATAACCTATATCACCGATGTATGGTATATTAATTAAATAAACAAATTTGAAATCGTTACAGTAGGCTTAAGCCTAGCTAGCCGCATCAAATATATCGTCTCTATAACATTAGAATTAGATTTAAAACGCTATAATATTTTACTACAAAATATTATCTATCAGTTTTAAATGGTAAACATAACAGCGAGGTACAGAAACAACAGCGAAAATGAAATAAAACCATCACTATTGAAAACCATTTATATTCGTGTGTTAATACTTGAACATTTTACGAATAAAGTGATAACATTCATGTTGTTAAAATGATTGGCAATAACGCCGACGTAGCATTGATAATAAATTACATCCATTTAAATTTATACTACAATCTTTCAAGATCTCTAATATTAAAGATAAATATAGAGATTAAACGATATTGTAAACTTTCGATTGGGGAGATGTCATAGAATCCAATTCACGAAACTGTGAGACAATGGTCCGGAAGACACGAGAGCAATTTTGTGCTCTTATAAAAGGTACACCGCGCGACCAGAACAGTGGTCGAGTGTAAACAAAACAGTACCTATTTTATTGTCTAGTAAAGTCTAAAGTGCAGAACTAGTGCTAAGTCGCATTTGTTCTAGATAAAAGGCATGATTTGTTTTGTGTGGACCAAACAACAGTCTCAGAAATCAGACCCGATCAAACGCTTCATGTTTTTTTTTAAATCTCATTCTTATTTAATATCTTAAAAGAATAAGAAAATATAGACATTAATATTCTAACGAATAAATGATTACAGTTACTTTAAATATGAATTTATATTTTGAATTTTATAATCGTTTTACATGATATAGGTATATCCCATTTATTTAACTATATTATAATATTCATGTATTAAAATTTAAAACACATTTATTACACATTTTTATTATTAAATCCAATACTTACATCGACACTCTTATGTAGGTAAGTAAAATACTTAACAGTAATAAAATTACCATCACGGTACATCGATAAACAATAGACATTTCATTAATATCATCAATACCTAGTCCTGTTCCGAGTCCTAATATACCTGAAAGTTGAAACAGCAAAAATATCTAGCAAAATGTTCGTACAACGTTTAATACAATATATTATCAAATGACATTTAACAATGAAAGCGTAGCAATTAGCGATACAAAAGACGTCAGTAAGCCTATTGAGATGGTTGACAAAAGTGAATAATTCTCTGTATTCATACGTGTCTATGGCTGGTTAGACTCGTACGAATACCCGTGCACTTTTTTACTTATACTATCGGTGAAATATTATTCCATTTTGAACGTAATCGCCAGTACTGTTCAGCTAACGAGTATAACCCTCGTACCATGCACTGGCTAGTTTACAACTAGACCGTGCACATCTTGGGGCAACACGAATAGGTTTGTATTCTAGGGCTATATTCGCGAAAACCGCACCTAATTTTAGTACCATTCCAAATTGGTTTTCTTATGATGACAGAAATTTATCATAGCAATGGATGTCGATTACTTAAACATAAAAAATATATAGACTATTCCAAAATTTCCTACATCTAAATGGCAATAAAATTATGGTTTCGATATCGCGCATACTGTCCCTGTAGTGTTTGAATCTATCGTTGGAGTGCTCGTTGCCAACCCAGGTTGAGCTTCAAAGTGGCTGGAAGACATGGACTGGCCTCACATTCACCATCGAGCTCATCAGCCAAACTGTCGTGGAGTTCACGCAGTGCCATTAATGCAGATCTGGCAGCTCTCTGACAGCCCATGTCACCTTCGCAAGCGGTGTCAGCCTCAGATAAGAACACTAGATCGCAAGTTGTCGGAGGAGCTTCACCCTACATAACAAAAAAATATTTTATTATAAATTCTATCTAAAACAAAATTTTATGTAAAATGAGTAGTAAATAAGTATATAAGTGAGTTATTTGTTACATCATAAATTAGGAGGGAGTCTATGTTGGTTTTTCTATTCGCTAATATGGTATTAAAAATTTATCTGATTGCACATTTCGGAATTTTTTACTAAAGGATAATTTATTTATATGTTCTTACACAGAGATAGCAGATTTGATGCAAGCTGCAGAGGGGTAAAAAGAGTTGGCCACGGTCTCCAGCAAGAAAATCAACTCCTTGGCATCGTTGTATTATTTTTCCTAAGACAGGGCATGATCCAGTAGCTCTAGCTAAAATGTAAAAAGAAATATTAATTAATAAAGGCGAATGAAAATATAAATACAATAAATAATCAACTTTTATTTCAGAAATTATAAAACCTGTGGAGATGACAGGACTACGGTGTCTTCCACTTCCACCCATGTATCCTTCGGAAAACTGTTCTTCAACTTTCCCATTCAAATAATGTCCCGCGCCCTGTTCATCTTCGAAATCTTCATTGCGCTCGACAGCTTTGTCAAAAATAGGAATATCATTTATTTCTACCTTTTCCTTTTTGACTGCCACTCTTTTAGACTTAGCTTCATCATTTGGCATAGGTGAAGAAGAGCGGTGTAATGATTCTGCTTTTTGTGCTTGGAGACTCTGTTGGAACTCTTTAAGAGCTTTTCTCATTTTTTCTAAACTATACGCAGCAGCCAACTCGGAGAGTAGCTTTTCTTTCATTGCTTGTTCTTCCTTAGAATCTAGCTCCTCGCCCACCTCTGAATAATGTAAAGCTTCATCAACAATCAAGCCTTCCATTGTTTTCAACTTTCTATCAATGTTGTCCAGTTTTGCGTCGTTCTCTGATGCAGTATTCCGTTTGTCGTCGGCTAATGAAGCTCCACGAGCTTTGATTATTTCTGACTCTTCATTTATTTTGGGTTGTACGAAATTTCGTTTTACGTTATTATGTTGTCGGAAACCATTTAGTGGGTAAATTACTTCCTTGTTAAAAGTATCAAAATATTGTTTTCCGAGTCTCTCTTGAGTCAAATCATTTATAAACGACACTTGATGATTTTTGTTACGCTTATCAATACCAAAGTAATCAGACCAGTCAATGGACTTTTTCTTGATATTAATTGGTTTGTGACTCTCACCATGCTCATTGTGATCACGATAATGTATAATTTCTTCTTCTTTACCAGAAATTCTAGGGTGATGCATACTGTGTTCATGGTGCTCGTTACTTATCTCATCATGCTTTGAAGAGTTACTATGTTCATGAGTATGATTATGATGAATTGTTGCTAATTTTGGTGGCTTACTTTCATGCGAACTGTCAACATTATCACTACTCCTTTTGACAGGGTTTTTAACTACTTCCGTATCAGGATCACCAAATATTTTCGATAAATCTTTTATGATTCTTGGATCTGTCCCAGAACTGCTCCTAAACGACTTAGTTTTGTCATTTTTATCTTGATTTAAGACAAATCTTTTCTTCTGCGTGCCAAAATTATAAGGCCCACTACTACGTTTGGTAACTGGGAACCTTTTTTCAACAGTATCGTAAACATATTGATCTTCATCACCATTAACAGTGTCATCATCGAGAGGTTGAAAAGCAATAGCATATTCTTCACGAAGATCATCTTTATCGTCATCTGCAACTTCATAAGCGTTATAAGTAGGATCATTTAGAATATCTCCATGTTTTCTTCCTTTAAAATCAGGTGTAATATCATGGTCCATATCTGAATCTGAACTTCGCTTTCTTTTAAAAGCTATGGGTCCCCAATTATCTGGGTAGCGTTTCTTCACAACTTTTTCTTTATATAATTTAACTACTCCCTGTGGTGCTTGTTCTAAATTATTTGAATGGACTTTGTTATATTTGTATTTCGACCAAAGTTGTCCTAATAGGAGAGCGTATTCTGCATCGTTTTGTGCCCGATCATCAATTTCTTTTTTTTCTTCTTCATTCTTTGCTACAAAAAGATCCCGCAAACGTTCATTATCAGAATGATGACTCCTCTCACGAAAAGCCGATTCTTTCTTACTGTTCGATTTCTCAGAGGCTGATCTTAAGTTTTTCTTTTTAATTACCCTGTATTCATAAGTATCAGGTGATCTTTCTTCATCTTCTAAAAGTTTTATTATATATTTAGGGTTTGGTTCCTCTTCGATGTCTTCTATATCCACAGGATAGTCTAGTTCTGTAATATAATAAAAAAAAAAACTAATTGATAGTTGGCTAGAATAATAAAATAATAATTTAGAAAGTAAATTATTTCTCTATGAATTTACTTATACGATTGCGAGCTCATCCTAATTGGTTATTGATGATACAAGCAAACGATATCGTTTAGTCGTGAGAGTGTTCGTGAAATAGTTTAATAAGTAGCCCAATAAATCGTAATATGCCCACCCCTCAGGTAATGCCCTTTCTTGCATGCGTTGCTGACCTCATGTGATCAAACATATCTAGTAGCTAAATGCTGTAGTCTCTTACCTGGGTAACCCTGTGGTGGCACGAATTCATATAATGCGTCGTAATCAGTTTGAGTCACAAGAGGGCTGTGCACTCTGCCTCTTTGCCGTCGTTGCAACGCCTCGAGTGCGCCGCGCAACGAGGACCCTCCGCGATCCCCATTTGCGCTTGCCAGAGCACACGCGGCCATAACCCATAGCCACGTTACGCCCATCTTGCTCGGTGTTCCTTATTGAGAATAAAAGATAAAGTGATTAGTAATCAGTATTGCCTAAGTACAGTGGTAGGTGGTATCACGAGTATGATACAGTCGATGACAATGCAACTACCCGCCTATTGTGTTGCTGAGTGCGCGTCTTGATTCTCGTCGCATCGTCTTTGAAAACATTGTAGTTTCCAGACTTTATTGATGTAATGAAGAGTTACTGATACTGGAAACATGATGATGGTTATATTGAATTATAATTATTATACTTCATCAACATCATCAGCCATAAGACGCCCACTGCTGAGCATAGGTCTCCCCCATAGATCTCTACGATGATCAGTCCTGCGCTTCCCACATCCAGCGGCTTCCCGCAACTTTTATAAGATCATCGCTCCTCCTGGTAGGATGCCTACCCACTGAGCGTCGTCCGGTACGTGGTCGCCATTGGAAAACTTTTCCGTCCCAACGCCTATCAGTTCTTCTCGCTATGTGTCCCGCTCACTGTCACTTTACCTGAGAAATTCTTTGAGTGATGACAGTAACGTTAGTTCTCTTACGGATTTCGTCATTCCTAATTCATCACCTATTGGGTGCCCTGAAGTATTTTTATGAGACACTGGCAACATACATTGATCGAAGATTGGTCTTGAAACAATGTGGTAATTTGAACGCGAAGATTTTTCGTAGCTTCCCGAACGCCCATACGAAGTAAATTCGACGAGAGATCTCTTTCTCAAAGTTGGAGTTGCCTAGCTGCGCTGTCTGTACTAGGTAGGTACATATAATGGACGACAACTTCTCAATTTTAACTTGAGTGCGTACAACATGGACGTTTGACATGATTTTCGTCTTATACATGTTCAACTTAAGACCCACTCTTTGGGATGCACTACTGATATCTTCAAGCATGGTGTTCAGTGCACTTTGGGATGCATTACTGATATCTTCAGCATGTGTTGGTGTACTATACTTATTTATTGGTTATATTAATCAAAAACTATGATCATGCTGTAACGTAGTTTATAAAAGATATTTTATTCTCAAAATTGTGAGTTGTAAATAACCAACAAAAACGTGTTCCTTTTTAGTTGAATTAGAGACCTAAGTAAATAAGTAAGTCGACCGCAAGTCCGTAATTGAATTGTATTAAACGTGATGTTAATTGAAATATGTTGTACCAAATTGGTGTTTTATTACTTGAGCTCTCAAAAATAGTGGGCTTTATTAGACCGAACTACACTCGTATACTTTATTTACGAGGGCGGGATGATAAATAGCTAGCCTAGCAATGAAAAACTTGAATTACCCCCGATTTCAATAACCAAAATTTTTTTTGTTTTTGCTACCATCCGTAGCATTTCCTACCGATGGTAGCAAAAAAGTGTTTCAATAATACACCATTGGTAGGTAAAGCTACCGACGGTGTGCTACTAACGGGTTGATCTGATACTGATAATCGTTCGTAGGCAAAATGTATGAAAATGGCGCAAAAAAGTATGTCAATAAAAAAATCTATCCGTCGGTAGAGCTGTCAAGCTTACTATCCGCAGCTTATCTATCAAATTTGTCGACCGGCCATTTTCCGTCGGTTATCGTAAAAATATTTATAAATTACACGTTTTCCCTTGTTAATTAATAGAAAAATAACAGTTTTTCATTAAAAAAATAATAGTGTAAATGAGCTTGATGTCTTTTGTGGTCCCAATTAGAAGAATTTAAGTTATAATCATGCCAATGCTTGTACCTTTATGGGCTCATACTACCAATTAATTATTGCTCCAGATGCTTTCTACAATGTTTCTGTTGAAAAACTTGATGATTTACCTCTATATAATTATGAAAAACCTGGTTCTGATCTAACTGTATTTGCCACCTACTTGTACCAAATTTATACATGACATTAGTTTATACCCTTTAATTTTTATTAATAGTTTTAATGAAAAACTGTTACTTTTCTTTTCTTTAACAAGGGAAAACGTGTTATTTATAAATATTTTTCCGATAAATCATACTAAATAAAAAAAGTTTAATTCAATGAGCCAAATGTTCCGAATCGCTGTTTCTTGCCTGCAGCATAACACCACTTTTAGGTACTTAACCAAACAATAAATATGTCATAATAATTCCTAAACAAATTTCAAATTTAGTTTCGGTACGTAATCAGTTCACCTCTTTCCTATTGATGTCTCTGTCTTCCTTCTTACGATTTCGATTTTGTCCAAGCAATTATTAAATGTTAAAGACTAACATTTCAGTATAATCATAATATTACCTAAGACAAGGCTGTATGCAAAGATCCCTTTTCCTCGAATCATATGATTACAATTTATAAAAATGAGCTACCGACAACCGTTCGTAGTTGGTAGGCGCCTACCGATGATTGTGAAACGCAAAAACGAATGGTTGTCGGTAGCTCAAAAAACGGTCGGTAGCTGCTACCGATGGTAGTCGGTATATTATTGAAACCGGGGGTTAGTGTGTTAAAAGTATATTTATTTTTCGAGATAGTCTCCTTGAAGCGCTATGCACTTCATCCATCTATGCTCTAAAGCCTTTTGCCATCCCTGAAGTGGTTTTCATCAAGCCATTAAAAATAACTGTCCACGGCAGACATCACCTCGCTATTATTTTCAAATCTTATATTTATTAGGGAATAGATGAAAGTCAGATGGTGCCAGATCAGGAGAATAAGCTAGGTGTGGTAGCAAATCATAATTTAATTCTTTGAATTTCGCCATCGCAGTAATGCACGTGTGAACGCGCGCATTATCCTGGTGAAAGATTATTTTTTCTTTAGCCAGGCCGGGTCTTTTTTCACGAATACACACTTTTAATTCAGTAGATCAGCATAATATTCGCCATTTATGTTTTGTCCTTTTGGAAGGTTATCAATCATCAATATACCCTTCGAATTCCAAAATACTGACACCATGACTTTCCCCGCTGATTTCACGGCTTTTGCTTTCTTTGGAGCCGGGGATCCTTTTTCCGTCCATTGTTTAGACTGAATTTTTGATTCAGGTATATAGTGGTGAACCCAAGTCTCGTCTGTAGTAACAAACCGTCGCAGAAAATCAGTTGTATTGCTCTTAAAGCAATCCAAACATTCTTGTGGAACGCGTTTTTGGTCAACTGTAAGCAATCGCGGCACCCACCTTGCGGATAATTTTTCATACATAATTCTTGAGTCAAAATGTAATGCGCCCCTTCTTTAGAGATGCCTACAGTATCAGCTATCTCGGAAAGTTTTAATCTTCGGTCAGCTAAAACTGCATCATGAATTTTGATCACAATTTCTAGAGTAGTGGCACTTTTTGGACGTCCTGGACGATGTTCATCTTGGGTGCTGGTACGGTCACGTTTAAATTCAGCCACCCAATTTTTTATGGTCGCATATAAAGGAGCATTTTCTCCCAAAACATCCATCATCTCCGAAAAAATCTCTCCACCTTTTAATCCTTTTAAATGCAAAAACTTAGCTCAGCTCGTAGCTCAATTTTATCCATTTTGCAGAAGAAACAAAAGAATGCTTTTTGAAATGTCATTATTTAAAAAAAAAACTATACGATCGACTTGAAATTTGGAACACTGGCAGCTAATGAACCAATGAGTAAAATACTAAGGAGATTTTATATCGTTATTATACAAAATATGGGTTGGGCTAGCTATTTATCATCCCGCCTACGTATTTGCCTCTATTTTTAACCAGTACATATTAGAATTTTATTGACAAGTTACTATTTATAAATAGCAAAGCAGTATAGAGCCCTCTATACTGCTTTTTACCCGTATATATCGAACAATTTCATATACCTGTATTGGGTTCCTATCAAATTGAAGATAAAAAGTATCTCCTGCTCAATTGTTGGCTTTATTAAGCTCATTTTGAAAATTTATTTGTTATTATAAATAAAATAAAAAAATATTCTAATATTTCGAATTTTAACATTTAGATTTAGAAAATGATATTTTTAGTACTGTCTGTGTACTAGCTGTTTTTCCGCGACTTTACCTGCGTAAATCATAGTCAATGGGTATATTGACTAGGATATTAGCGTATTGAGAAGCTTCCCGTAAGTAATCATTGATAAAACACTAGCTCGGAGCAATTTCAATGCAAAAAACAACCAAAATTCTTCTTTTTAAATTATTGGTATAGATAAGTGCATGTAAGTACTCGTATATAAATGATTTTGCTATTTTTGACCGTCTCCCCTCTAGAAAAAAAGAAAAAAGAATTATCTTACCCCTCCCTTCCGTTAAATATTAGTACGCCAGAATATCGCGGTTCTCCTTAATTGATGAATAAAAAATCTTGAGAATATTATAATGAATATTATTCTCTCCTTTTTAAACGACTGCAAAAAGAGAGTTCTCAATTCGACCGTATGTTTTTTGTGTGTTATTTCGATATTCAAAAATGTTTTTTATTCAATAGCTTAAGCTGAGGTGACCGCATTTCAATTTTATCGAAATCGAATCAGTTGTTTTCTTATTATAACAAAATAAAATATACTTTTCATCAGATATCGCCTAAATATTTTTTTTACATGTTTATATCAGCGAAAAATGTATTATTTATTTATTCAAAATCCGAAAGGAGGAATTTCTATGTACAACGGGTATGTATACTTTTTATGCAAATACATATGTTCACCGATTTCTTCATGGTGACGTCGTGCAAATAAATAACTGGACTTTCGCTATGTGGATATAATTTCTTTTATATAGATATTTAATATTTTAGTGATATCTGTACAAAATATTTATATATAATTCCCATGTAGGTATTATTAAAAATAATTAAATAAATTATTTTATACAAACTACAAACTTTAAATAAGTCTAAAATAATACTTCTCTTAAAAGCGGTTGAATTTAAGTCCATATTACGCAAATGCGTAAGGCATATGCGTAATATGATAGGTCACAAAGGTGTTATGGGATAAAAAAAATGTTTATTTGGAATTAAATTAATCTTCTTAGGCGATTCGTAAGATAAGGTGTTGTCAAGTTAAGTTATATC